GGTGGGCGCGGCAGCAAGCGGCGTTGAATTGCAGATGGAGCAAGCTGCCAGATGGTAAGAAGGATGGCAGATCTCGCCCTCACCTGGGCCGGCAATGGTGAGGTTCCTGCTGTCCAGCCTGATCGGCAGGACGCTCCGGTCTGGCGCGTCCCCAAATCGGTAGCTTGCATCCCCTGCATCCGTGAGTGGCGGCGGCAAATGAGGTGCAGGCTGGGCTGGGCTGGGATTACTGGATGGGGCTGGGCTGCAGCTGAGAGGCGCGGCCTGCACAGAAGCATCGTCAAGCCACCAGCCTAGCTGTTGACCTGTCAGCAGAATGTCGGACCTCTCGATCTCGCCGCCGTTGCAGTAGTACGCATCCATTCATTCATTCAGCACACAGACCGGCCGCCTCTTGCTCGAGGGCGGCCCACTTTGGCCTGGGCAGCCCGGGCCGCCCTCCCCCCCGGGCGCATGTTCGGTGTTGGAGGGGTGTGCCCAGCGATAGGGGGCCCCTGAAGGCATGCGCCGAGGCCGGGAAGCGTGGTTCGGCGCTGCTGCACGCTTGGCGATTTGACCAGAACCACGTGCCGCCGAGCTGCGGCCGCAGTTTCCGGCCCACGGTCTACGGTCGCAGCCACGGGACTCGGCGGCACGGCGTTTGGGCCCAAGCTTGCTGCCGCCGCCGCCGTGCCCGGGGGGCAGCGCGGCGGCGGCGGGGGCACGCTGCGACGCCCCCGTGCTGCCGAGTTGCGGCCGTAGTTTCCTGCCAGAAGCCCACGGCCACAGCCACGGGACTCGGCGGCACGGCGTTTCGGTCCACGGCTTGCTGCCGCCGCCGTCGCAGGGGTGCTGCCTGCGGCGGCGGCGGCACGGCGTTTGGGTCCACGGCTTGCTGCCGCTGCCGCCGCCGCAGGGGTGCTGCCTGCGGCGGCGGCGGTAGCGCACGTGGCAACCCCCCGCGTTTCCTTGCCTCCCATCCACCGGACCCCGTCCTGCGCTTCACTTTGTTTAGGGAGGGGCTGCTCACTGCTCATTGCTCATTGCTCATCGCACACTGCTCAACGCTCATTGCCCTATATCCCACCCAGCCGCAGGACTCCACTGCCGCCCGCGCCCCGCCCCATCTGGCCGCTTGCGCGCCCCATCCCCCCTCGATGGGGCCCGCCCACACCGGGGCCTCCCCCCTCCCGCCCACTGCTTTCTCAACGGCCCCGAGCCGGGGCTGCCCTCATTGCATACATAGTGCGCCTTTCCCTGCTTTTCTAGTGACCTAGCGTTCCGCACTGCCGTTTGGCCAGCCCATGCTCCCGTACCGTTGCGTTTCTCCCCAATGCGCCATGCCACTTTGCCAGTCATACACACGTTTCGATGCGTGCCCTGTCAGCTGCTTGCGTTGCATGTCGCCTTGCTCCACCCCTGTTTTATTGCTTTCTCTGCTTTCGCCCGGTTCCCGTCCCGTTTCGGCGGGGAGTCTATGTTGCAAGCTAGTTCTTGCTTTACCAGACTTTAAGCCCACACAAGCATTGTCGGCCTGGAGGGCCGCCATCAGCCCTGCAATCGACGCCACCTTGGCGCTCATCCCGCCGCCGCTGCCTGCATGCATGCAGAATGCATGCGCTCGAGCTCTGCTTGTGCGGACGTGGCGTGGCAGGCAGGGTCGTGCGACACCGTCAGGCTTGAAGCCTGGCAAGCTCTCTCACCAGCACCGATCGCTTGATAGTTGCCGAGTGGGCAGGCAAATGCCACTGGGCCCTCGATGTGCAGCAAGGCGGTGCCCACCACCTGGCCAGAGCTCGACTTGAGCGGCAGGGGCAGCTGCAGCAAAGTTGGGCGCGTCTCAGCAGGCAGCCCCTGGCAGACTCGCTGCAAGCCACATGCCATGGCAGGCAACCCACCGTGTGGTTGCCGTAGATTGCCGTGGTGTTGGCGCTCAGCCGCTGGGCGTCGTCCCCTAGCAGCGCCTTGATGTCCACAAAACTGCGGGGCGAGGCAGGAGAGGGGGCCATTCCGTGCTGCATCCCACCCTCCCCAGGGCTGTCGTTGAAATGGGCGGGTCGAGATGCTCAGCCCAGCGGTGACAGTATACAGGCAGGCACGGGCCCCGCGTGCCTTTTGACGGAGAAGGCGGGGGTGCAGTGGTCCAGCGCTTTGACGGTCGAGTAGCGAATAGCGCGCACCTGCAGGGAGGCACACACACGACCATGGCATGGGGCTGGCTGACGGCATGCACACGGCAGCGGCTTCCATGCGCAGCAGCGGCGCTCGCAGCCCAGGCCTGCCCTCCCACCTGCGCGCCGTCCTCCAGGATGACCGAGGGGAAGGTGGTGAGGCCGACGGCCTGTGGGTACCCAGACTGCGCCACCTCGGGTGTGTTGTAGGGAGCGATGCTCTCCAGCGCCACGTCACGCACGGTCAGCGTTGCGTTGGCGCCCACGACCAGCACCGGCCAGATGCTGGAGAAGTCGAGGTGGGGCACCCCCGGCTGGTCCATCTGGGGATAGGCGGTTGCGTTGTAGGTGACTGCGCGGCAAGGCGGCAGGCAGCTGGGTCGTGAGCTGCGAGGCCAGCAGCAGGGCCCTCAGGGCGCTGGCGGCAGATGTGGCGGGCGGCCCTCCCCACCACCTGGGCCGGCGATGGTGAGGTCCCTGTCGAGCCGGATGGGCAGCGCATCCAGATCCGGAGCCTGATCGAAGCGCACGTCCCCTGCACCGGCGGCGGCAGGCCTTGCAGGTCATTAACTCGTTGTTCAATCGTTGGCACGGTATGTGGAGGCTGGCCAGGCAGGTGCTTGCCTGTTAGAAGGATGTCTGTGACATCGGGGTCCTCGAGCGCTGCCACCAGCTCGGCAGCCGAGGCAACCTCGGCGCTGCCGTCCGGGCTGCCGCCGCCGCCGCCAGCGACGGCGCCGCTGGCAGCCCCCAGCTGGCCCGCCAGCGCCACCAGCAGGCAGGCCAGCACGCCGCCACGCATGCCCGGGGTGGCAGAGTGAGATAGGCTCGAGAGGTGTAGCAAGGGGCTGGCTCACGAGCAGCTGCAGGCGTTAATGGCCCTAGGCTGCAAGGATTTGCATTTTCATATACTCCGTAGAGCATCCAGCGAGTCCATGCCCCTGTTGTGAGCGCGAGCGGTCTGGAACATAAGGCGCCTCGTCAGCGGCCGCCCCGGCGGTACTCGCGCCGATTGCAGATGACAGAGGCGCAAGCAACCCTGCCAGTAGCATTGAATTGGGGCCTTTAGCGTTAAACATGAGGGTGCACAGTTCTGTTGATAACCTGCTCGGGAACGCCTAATAGAATCGCTAAGGTTTCGGCACAGGCCTCCCCGGGACCCATTCACTACTAGTGGGGGGTACTGCACTTGGCGCGTCGGGCAGATCAAATAATGGTCTAAAGCTAGACGTTAAAACCGGGAAGTTAAGCCTGTGGAGGCTCTTCCCCACCTTTACCTTTACCTTTACCTGCAACCCATTTGGGGCCGCGGGAGTATGGCGGTGGGACCAGCCGCGGCACTTGTGGCGGCAGGGCGCCACCTCAAATCTACCTGTCTGGCGATGCTTGCAGCTGCCTCAGTCGATTGCATTGAGGGACATTGTGACATCCCGCCAGGAGGCAAAACCCTTCGGAGGGCTCCCCTCGCCCCCATCTGGGGCAACCCCTCTGTTCCTCGCCGCGTGCCTCGCTTCCAGCATGTGGCCAGCAGTCGTGCTGGCCCAGGCGCTGCTTGTTCTAGCTGCCGTCAGCCCTGCAGCAGTAATGGCCGCAGCAGCGGCGGCGGCGGCAGCGCCGAGTGCCGCCACTGCCACCGCCGCCGCTACTGCCCCCAAGCTGTACCACTTCAGATGGTACGTGTCCGAGGACGAGAAGCGCGAGGGTGCTCCTGAGGTGGAGCTGTCATTCCCCGGCCACGGCAGCACCCGCCTGCAGTACCTGGCCTCTGTGCCCGCCCGGCGCGTGCGGCGCGTCTGCAAAGTGGCAGCGCCACATGCCGGGCCGCTGAGCATTTCGATGAAGGGGAGGAACGGGGGCGTCCATTACACCTTTCAGGCGAGCTCGGCGGGGCGACATGCTGAGCAGGCTAGGGATTGACGCCCGAACCGCTGCTCAAGCTGCCGACCCAGCAGCACCTCACCCTGCCCCGCCCTGCCTCGAGGCTGCAGGTCGTGATGGCCAACGGGGCCTGCCTGGCGAAGCAGATGAACGAGCAGCTGCAGCTGGGGGCGCTCCTGGAGAGCGGCGGCGGCAGCGGCATCGATGGCAACGCCACCGCGCCGGCGTATGCGCTCTTCAGCTGCCGCCAGCACGCGGTGGGGTGCGGCATCTATGTTGTGGAGCCAGACGACCCGGAAGGCGCCGCCTCTGCCTCTGCCTCTGCCCACCTGGACAGGTGAGCGGGCAGGGGCCCTCGGAGGGCATCGTGGGGGGCGCAGCCATTCGCTCGGCATTACACCAGGAGCCTGGCTGCCCACGTTGCAGGTGCACCATGCCGCACGCGACCTGCAAGCCGGCGGTGTTCTCTCAAAGCACCTGGCACAGCCACAGCTGCTGCCCGCGGTCGTCTGAAGAAGGCGCGGCTGCCTCGGTGTGCCTTCCGGGGTGCTTGTGCAAGCAGCACGCCTGCACGTGAGTTGGGTGGCGGGGCTGCTGCATGGAGTGCCGTGGGAGGCCTGTCATTGCCTGTCATCACCCGTCATGCTGAGGTGTCAGCACCGCTGCCTGCTGCCCCGCAGGCCCCAAGTGATGTGACCTTGCCAGGAGGGCCGCTGTAAGGGATGGCCCAGCCTGCGACATTTGCAGCCTGCGACATTTGCAGGCCGCCAGCCCGCGTCCCACATCCACCAGCATTGCAGCACTTCCAGGATCCCTTGAACCTCGCTCATCAACTGTTTTGCTTGCCTGCAAGAACGTTGCAGCATTTGATACCACAATCACCGGTATCCCCATGTATGCCAATGGCAACTCAAAATGGCGGGGACATGCCGAGCTCAGCATCGCAAAGGTGTTGTGTCGTGCCGCCGGCGCCTAGCGGCTGCGGCGTGTGCGCTTGACCGCCTTCCTGGGCTTGACATCCCGACGGGCTGCTGCTGCTGATGATCTGGCAGCCGATAATGCAGGCCGCTTTCTCCCAACAACTGGCTGCGCCTGGGGAGGCGGGTGCTCCTTCTCAAACTCTGCCGCCTCGCTGTTGGCCACGCCAAACGCCTGCAGCCAGGGCGAGGCAAGGGAGGCACACAAGCAATAAGCAGTGGGAATGCACTGGTTTTTTTAAGCAGCCTGGCTGTCCAACCAGGCACTGCTGGTTGCCAGCTGCGCCTGTAGCCGCCCCTGGGCAGGCAGCAGCGCCGGCGCCCACCTCGAAGAAAGCGGCGCGGTCAGCTGCTGGCAGGTCCTCGAGGCCGGCCACATCGGTGGGACTGAAGGCGTCTGGCCCCACCAGCTGCAGCACTGGCTGCAGCTTCTCGGCCGCCGCCGGCAGGCTGAGGTACACACGCATCGTGGGCTCCCCCGCTGTGGTCACCAGCCGAACGTCGCCGCGCTGGAAGGGCTGCTTGGAGGCTTTGCAGGCGCCCTGGCTGCGGCGCCCCGGGTTGGCGCACACCTCCACCCAGCAGCTGCGCAGGAACTCCAGAGGCTTCTGCAGCGGCAGGCAGCAGGTTGGACGTGGAGCAGAGGCGCAGCAAGTGCGGCAGGCGGCTGGCAGCGGCTCACCAGCCACGCCAGGCCCATCCATCCCACGCGCCAGTCTCCCTGCTGCAGCGGCTCGCCGGTTGCACGACACTTGCTGCGCCCCGTGCTGGCCTTCTGCAGCACCACGACCGCCTCCTCCATGCCCTGCCTAGTGTCGGTGGCCATGGCGGGGTGCGAGGGGCGCGAGCGGCGGCGGAGCCTCCTACCCTCCTACACCGAGCGCCGAATTGGCGGCGGCACGCTACGCCTGGCTGTTGCGCCGCTGCCGCAGCTGTCAGGTAGCCACGCGCGTTGCAGAGCTTGCAATGTGCGTGGGAATGCAACAGCGTGTTGGGAGAGGCCCACAAATCGGGGTGTGGACGTGCGGGACGCCCAAGGCACCCCACAAGATCTGGATGCTGCAGGCAAAAGCTGCCCCGGGAGTTCGCGGTCGGTTGCCACATGGGCACAGGGTACAGCGCGCTCGAAGCCCATCATGACCGCACCAGGTGTCCCCGATCACTTGTTTCTGGCCTTCTGTGGGTGCAGCCAGCGCAGAACAGGCGTCGAGTGCAACTTGAACTTGGTGCCTTGGCTGCGCTGAACGTCTCGCCCGGCTGCCGCGCTTGGGGCTGGCCCGCAGCGGCCGGAGCTGGACAGGGGAGAGCTAGTCGGCCGGGCACCTGATCAGGCAGCAAAATGCTGGACGACAGACGAAGTGCGTATGGGGGGACCGTCTGGCTCGTTGGCAGGCTGTCCAGCAAACGGGGGGAGAGGCGCATGCCCCCAAACAACCAGCCGACGCCCAGCTGGTTGGCGCAGCGCCGCCCGCTGCCGCCCGCCGCCCCCGACCTCGGACCCGCCTGCTCCTGCCCGCTGCAGAGATTGGCGTGGGCCTGACGGGCCTGGGCTTCCTGTTCCTCCTCCTAGGCGTGCTGTTCTTCTTCGACAGAGGCCTTCTAGCAATGGGGAACGTGCGAACTGCTGCTGAATCATGCGTGCAGCGTTGGCGTGTCCTGGCGACCGACCGCCTTTCTGATTACGGGCCCCCGCGCTGCATTACTTGCAGGTGCTGTTCCTCACAGGCGTGGCCCTGACGATAGGGCCGCAGGCTGCGCTGCGCTTCTTTGTGCGGCCCAAGAACTACAAGGGCAGCGCTTTCTTCCTGGGGGGCGTGGTGCTGGTGGTGGTGGGCTGGACCTTGATAGGTGCGCGGCGCTGCCGCCGCGGGAGCCGACACCACGGGTGCTGCATTGGTGCTGCTGCGGCAGAGCCGCAGCCGTTCTGCACCAAGCCGTGGCAGTGTTCTGCGAAGCGCCGGTGCCCCCGGCAGCCAGCCGCACCAGCCCGCAATCGCAGCACATGACGCGGCGGCCTGCCACCGCCTTCTTCCGCCTGCAGGGTTTGCGCTGGAGATGTGGGGCTTCTGGCTGCTCTTCAGCGCTTTCTTCCCCACCGTGCTTTCCTTCCTGCGGTGAGCCAGCCGGCTTCCGCCTGTGTGTGCCGGCCGCTGTAATGCGGCTGCTTCTGCCACCGCTGCTGTGCCCTGGGCGCCTCCCTCCAGCCTGGCCTCCCGCCTCCTCCCGCAGGCGCATGCCTTTCTTGAAGCGCGTTCTGGACTTGCCGGCATTCAAGGCGGTCATCAACAAGGTGGCGCCAGCTGGCGGCGGCCTTCCCGTCTGAGCCCATGGCCAGCCACGGCCGTCAGCAGCACGGCGCCGCCCGCGCCTCTTTGCTCGTTTCTGCATGCTGTCTCTCCCCTGCTTCCATCTCACGTTGCGCCTCTTTACCCGCCTGCCCTGCCGCACACCCTGACCATCCGACTTGCTTCTGACTTGCCATTGATTGACCCTGTCCGCTTGTGACCGCAGCAACACAATGACCCAACTTGCCACGGTCCCTCTCCCTCCTCCGCCGCTCCTCTCTGCCCGCGGCTCCTCCCAACGGGCCTGCCTGTGCATGCCACTTGTGGCGCGCAGCCCCAGGGCCTGCCCTTCCTTCCTTGCGCAACAGCCTGTGTAACTTGATGCGCTGTTGCAGAGAGGGATGCGATGCAGTTGCATTGATGTGTGATGATCTAAGGTATTGCAAAGCTGGTGGGCGCACAAAGCAGTGCACCAAAAGGCGGCCTCAGGCCAGCTCGTCGTGTAGAGAAGCTAAGTAGGCGTCCCGAGACATGCCCTGCTGCTGCTGCGCCGCCGCCGCCGCCGCTGCGTGGCGGCTGTCCAGCGAACGCCCGGCGTAGCGCTCGCCGCGGGTCTGCGGCGGGCCGCCGCCGCCGGCACGCCCGCCCCTGCCGCCGGCGCGGCCGCCCGCGGGGGCGCCGCCGCGGCCGGGGAAGCCGCCGCCGGCGGGGCCAGCACCGGGGGGCGCCCCCGGGTTCTCAAAGGTGACTGAGTAGCCTGCGGCCTGCAGCACCAGCAGCGCCGCATTCTGCAGCGCCCGCTTCTCGCCGCGGGGGCCCGGCGGGCCGCTGCCCACCGCCTCAAACTCGCCGCCGTTGATGACCAGGCGGTACCGCCAGCTCCTGCATCGTACCGCACACCCACACTGCCACCTCAGCGCCTGCGCAGGACAGGCACCATACACACCCGCATACCAGCGGCAAGGCAGTGGAAGCGCTGAAATCAATGCAGCCGCGGGGCGCTCACCCGTCGGGGCCCTGAGGCTGCTCTTGCCACTCGATGCGGTTGGTGGCGGCGGGGAAGTGGCCAATCAGCGTGTCTATTGCGTTCCTGAAGGCATGGAAGGCAGGGAGGCAGGTCAGTCGCGCGGTCGTGCCAGCAGCGAGCATGCCAAGATCTGGCAGGCTGGCGCAGTGCTGAGCGGTAACAAGGACCCGTGACTTGCCTGCTGGTCACGCCGCCGCCGCCGCCGCCGCCGCCTGCTGCCGCGGCGTAGGGGGCGGGCTGTGCCATGCCGTACTGCTGCTGCAGCTGCTGCTGCGGCGCAGCTGGCATGCCGCCCCTGCCGGCGCCGCCGGGGGGCGCATTCAGGCGCAGCAGCGCGGCGGCCGCCGCCGCTTGCATCGCGCCATGCTGGGTGGGCCCGGCGGCGAGCCCCGCGGGCGGCTCAGACGGTGGTGGGAAGTCGGCGGGCCAGGTGCCCACATAGGCAGCCGCCCGCCAGCTTCCGTCGGGCTGCTGGCTGCACTGCCACTGCAGCCGCGCCTGCTGCCGCTCAGTTGCCTCGTACAGGCGAGCCACGGCATCCTGGCCGTTGCCGCCTGGCGGGCCCAGGGCCAGCCCGGGCGCCTGCTGCTGCTGCTGCTGCGGCGGCGGCCGCTGCTGGTCGTACCGCGCCTGCTTGTACCGCCCATCCCCCTTGCTGCCGTCAGACGCTTTGCGCTTCGACCCCGCCTGCTGCTCCGCCTGCGCCGCCGCCGGGGCGCGGTGCATGGGGCGCAGCAGCGCAGCTGCCACCATCGGCCCCTGCCCCGGCCCCTGCCCCGGCCCCATGCTGTTGAAAGTTTCCATCCAGCGCTGCCGCATCTCGTCGCCGCCGCCGCCAGCGCCCGGCGGCGGCGGCAGCTGCTGCTGCTGCGGCTGGGGCGCGGCCATGGCGGCTGGCTGCATGCGCTGCATGGGGCGCGGCGCCTGGCCGCCGCCTGGCGCCACGGGCACAGCCATCCCCACCATGTGTGGCAGCATGGGCCCCGATGGCATGGCGGCGCTGGCAGTGCCCCACGCCGACTGCTGCTGCGCCAGCGCCGCGGGCGGCGCCTGCATGCGGGCAGCCGGCGGCGTGGGCACCCGCTCCGGCGCCTGCATGCGCGGCGGGAGCGCCTGCTGCTGCTGCTGCTGCTGCTGCTGCGGTTGCTGCTGCTGCTGCCCCCTGGGCGCCGGGCCGTGCAGGCCGACCAGACGCTTCACCATGGGAGGCGGCCGCGCCCTGCCTGCCATGCCGGGCTGCTGCGGCAGCGCCGCCGTCGAGGGAAGCATGCCTAGGACCTCGGACAGAGTGCCGGCGTTGGCGGCAGCCACGCCGCCCGCGGCTGGCAGCCCGGGCCGGCGCCGCGGGTCGGCCGCCGCCTGCTGCTGCAGCAGCGCCACACCGGGCCCAGGCGCCGCCGCCTCTGGCCCCGCCGCCGGGCCCGCCATCTTGCCGGGCCGCTGCCGCTGCGGCCGCTGTGGCTGCATCGCCTGGGGCTGCTGCGGCTGCTGCTGCTGCATCGCCTGGGGCGGCGGCTGCTGCATCGCCTGCTGCTGCTGCAGGTGCTGCTGGTGCTGGTGCTGGCGAGGGTCGACCGGCACGGCCCCTAGCTGGGGAGCCATGCCCTGCTGCTGCTGCACCTGCTGTGCCTGCTGCCCCGGCGGCTGCAACCCAAGCAGGCCCTGCAGACTGGCCAGAAGCTCCACCCCCGCCTGCCCCGACAGCTCCGCCAGTGGAAGCGGCTGCCCGGGCGGCAGCGCCTGCTGCGGCGCCGCCTGCTGCTGCTGCGCCTGCTGCTGCGCCTGCTGCTGCTGGCGGCGCAGCTGGCGCGGGTCCACCGGCCGCTCCATGGCGGCCTGCAGCGAGGCGGGCAGCGCCTCAGGCTGCGCCACCCTGTGCATGCCCGCCGCCATCAGAGACTCCACCCAGGGCGGCGGCGCCAGCGCGGCGGCATACGCCACATGCAGCGGCGCCGACAGGCTGAGCGGCTGCTGGCGCAGCAGCTCCAGCTGGCGCCTGCAGACGACGGCGGCGGCGAGAGAGCGGCGGTGGCGGTCAGGGTACAGGTGTGTGTCCGCACATGCATGCAGCAGCAGGCCATGCACATTTGCAACGCTGCACCACCACCAGCACCAGCACCACCACCACCACCACCACCACCACACAGACCCCACACTCCCACCCAGCCCCGCCCGCCCCGCAGCCTGACCCCACTTAATTGTTTCCAGCACCCCACCTGAGCACCTCCTGCACGCGGTGGAAGGCGTGGCTGCGCAGATTGAACAGCTCCTCCTTGAGCCGGATCATCTGCGCGCCCAGCGACTGAGTGGTGGGCGTGTCAGCCAGGCCCAGGTCCTGCGCCGCCTGCTCCTCCCAGGGACGGAAGGGCTCCACCTGCAGCACCTGGCCCCGGTTGGTGGCATCCCAGATCTGTGCGGCGCAGCGGGGAGGGGAGGGGCGGGGCGGGGTGTGGCGGTGGGTGGGGTGCGTGGCGTGGCGGGGAGGGGCGAGGAGGGTTGGCCGGGCGCGAGGCGACATGTGGGTGGGAGGTGCGGCGGGGGCGACAGGGCAGCAAGGCGGGCAACGCGGGCAGGGCAGGGCAGGGGAGGCCCCAGGGGAGCAAGGAAATGGGGGGTACGTGAGCTCAGCGCGGCGTGCGCCTCCACAGCAGCAGCAGCAAGGTCCACCCATCCACCCGCCCTACCCACGCACCTCCACCCGATCGTCCACGATGACGGCCAGCGGCATGGGGCTGGCGGGGGCGCCCCCGGGCCCCGGCGGCGGCCCCCGCCCCAGCTGCAGCACCGCGCCCAGGCTCTTCTGCTTGCTGCCAGAGTGCAGGCGGCGCTGGCCTGCAGGGTGGGGCAGGGTGCCAGGGCAGCACGGCGGTGCTGGTCAGCACACCAGACCAGCCGCCGCCACCTCGACCCACGCCCATCCCACGAGGGCCGCCCGCCCATGCGGCTGCGCCCCTCCCCGGCCCATCCACCCCTGCTCCCTGGCTCCCCCGCTGCCCCAGATAACACCACCAGGCCGCCACCACACCATGCTGCCCGGCACCGCCACCACCCCACATGCACAGCACCACCGCCGCCGCCAGGCAGCCCCGCCGCCGCCGACGACGACTCACGCTCTGCGGGCGGCATCATCCATCCATCTGGGTCCAGCACACGCCACGCCTCCAGAGCATACCCGCGCTCCGCTGCGGTGCACACATACGTCTCAAACCGCAGCTTGGCGGAGGGCGGCCTGCGGGCAGGGAGAGGCGCGAGGCAGCCAGGTGGGCGTGTGTGTGTGTGCATGTGTGTGTGTGTGTGTTTGTATGCAGAGGGATGCACGCCCAGAAGAGCGGTGGCGGCAGCAGGAGCGGCGCAGGCGGCAGCAGGCAGGGCGGCAGGAGAGCGGCGGCGGCGGCGCTGGGGGGCTCACGAGGAGGAGACTGGCTGGTGTGTGCGGGGGTCCATCAGGCCGCCCAGGTAGCCCCAGATGGCGCGCCAGTTGGGCCTGCGCGGCGGCGCCAGCAGCGGCAAGGCGGCGGTGGGCGGCGGGGCGGCACGGCGGGGTGGCGGCGCGATGCGGCCGGGCGCAGGGCACGCGGCGGTGAAGGAGCAGGCACGGCGCCCGGCACATGGAGGCTCAAGGCACAGGCTTGCATACTGTAATCCGGCGCAGTCAGCTGGCGCGGCGCCCGGCGGCCCCCTCACCGCAGCTTAAAGACCATGCTGGAGTGCGGGTTGCCGGGCTCGATGCGCGTCAGCAGCGTGTCTTCGTTGCCGGGCAGGCGGATGACGGGGCGGCGGATGAGCCCCATGTCGTCGCCATGAGCCGACTCAACCCTGCGGGCAGGGCGGGCGTGGTGTGTGAAGTGTGGTGTTGGGAGGGATGGGGCCCAGTGGAGCGTGTTGAGGGAGCAGGCTGACGGCTGACGGTGGGGCGGAGGAAGGCGGGCGGAGGGGCGCACCCCGCACCCTGGTAGAGTCACCCCCCACTCACTGCGCGGCCAGGCGCTGCCCCTGGTACGTCACCGCATCGCCCTCCGCAAACTGCTGCAGCAGCGCCAGGTCCTCCTGCGCGGGGCGGCGCGGCGGGGAGGCGGGCAGCACAGCGGGAGGTGAGCAGCCCGCAGGCGTGCCGGCAAGGGAGGCGCGAAGAAGCGGACGAGCCCGCCGGTCGGCGTGCCTGGCTGCCTGGCCTGCACCGACCACCGCCCACCGCACCGGCCAGGCCAGGCCAGCCGTCCCATCCACACCTGCATCAGCTGCTCCTCCCGGTCCAGAGCCGCCAGCTTGAGCGCCTGCTGCGGGTCGCTGGTTGCGCGGTGCAGGTGGGGGCGCCTGCAGGCGGGGAGCGGGCATGCGGCCCAGGGGCCGGGCAGCGGGCAGGGCTCAGCTCCGCGGCACCGCGGCGCCGCGTCGCCAGCCCAGCGCTGCAGCGCGGCGCGGCGTGCAAGGAGGAAAGCGCGGCGCACCTGACGTCCCGCAGCGCCTTGAGCTCCTTGGCCATCTGGCTCTGGCTCTTGGCCACCAGCAGCGTCTCATCCAGGTCAAACACCAGCGGCAGCCGCATGGTCAGCAGCAGCTGCGGGGCACGGCGGCGGGGCGGGGCGGTCGCGGGGCAGGGAGGAGGGTCGCGGGCGGTGGGAGGAGGCATGAGGGTGTGGGGAGTGCGCACGCAGGGAGGGGTAGCCTGTCACGCAGGCATGTGGCGTGGGAGCCGGCAGCCACAACATCAAGTGGCAGCAGGCAGAGGCGATGACCCCAGCAAGCAAGTCAAAGCGGCCAGCAGGGGTGTCGCACCTCCTTCACAAAGTCTCCGGCCAGCAGGGAGGCCGCAAAGCCTGCAAAGATGGGCTGGGGCGGACCGCCGCCTGCGGCGGCCGCCATCAGCGGCACCAGCATCACCTCGCTGCCGGCGCGGCCCGCTGTCCGCAGCACGCCCGTGCGGTTCTCGCTTGTCAGCAGTCCGTGCAGTTGCACCCAGCTGCAGTGCACAGGAAGGCGGGGGCATGACAGGAGGGCAGGAGAGTTGCGAGAGCTGCTTTTGGGGGTGGCACCCTCCCGCTGGGGCGGCGGAGGAGCGGCGCGAGCACTCACGGTCGGGGCGGCTGCCCGGGGTTGCTTTGGCATCGCAGGAAGAAACAGGGCCCTGCAAGCAGCCAGAAATTCGGCGGTTTCAGGAGGTGTTGCAATTGCGCAAACGCAACTGCGCCGCAATAGGAGCTACGGCTTCAGGGCAGCACGGGTCGCACCTCCTGCCAGCAGATGGGCGATCAGCAAAGCGGGGGCCGCAGTGGCGTCGCCGGCATGCCTGAACAGCGCAAATCGCGGGAAATTGCGGCGGGGAGCGTCCCCATCAATGCCAGAACGGGTGTAAATGAATGAACAAAGCAGCAGGGGCAGCGGGCGGCTTCACAAGGGGCGTGTTGGGGCGAGCGGAGTGGGAAAACAAAGTGGCGGCAAAAATGGGGCGCGCGGCGCCCTGCTGGCCCGCACCAGTTGCCCTCCAGGGTCAGCGTGGCCGATGGGAACAGCGCCCCGCAGTCCCAGCCAGGGCAGGGCAGCAGCCGGCACTCGGCCGTGCCAAACTGGCTCGTTAGCGCCTTTCCCACGCCCTCCATTCGTTCACAGCCGATCACTGTGCCCTATTCTGGCCATGCCAAACGCTGGGTGTGCTCCAGCACGCTCAGGTGGGGAGGCGGGCAGCAGAGAGGGGGAGGGGCCCACGGGGAGCGGGGTGGGGTGTGCAGGCAGGGGGAGCAGATTGCTGCGGGAGTCTCTGGCGCTGCTACTGGGGGGGTGCCGCTGGGAGTGGGGCTCTCGCCGCTTGATGCCAAGGGCGCCGCGTCGCTTGGCCTTCGCTGCCAGCTTCAGCGCGTGGAAGACAGCAGCGGCAGCCGGGTGACAACGCAAACAGCCACTGCTGGGCGCCCATGAACTGTCAGCCTCCTTTCCAGCCACCCAGGGTCGGCGGTGGATGCCGCCCGCCGCCAATCCGCCGAGCAATCCGGACACGCAAGACCCCTTCTCAGCCTCAGGGACTCATCTCAATGTCAATTTCAGACAATTTTAGACACGGCAGCAGTAATAAGGGAGGCATCTGTCGGGCGCCACTGTTTCACGGGCACGCGTACCTAAAAACAAAACACACAAGTTGAGAGCATCGCTGCTCTTGGCCCCCAGGCCACCCCCTCGGCGATGCGCTGTACGTTGCGCCGTCGCCTGCTCTCAGTCCCTACTTGACGCTCCACGCGGGGCGCCCATCGCCCTGGTACCGGTCTGGCTTGCGGATGCTGCGCGCCGCCACGCCGTGGAACACCTGCAGGAGGTAGGGGCACAGACAGGACAGGCGCAGTCAGGGCAGGCTGTCATGGCCTGCAACAAACCTGCTGCGGCCAGAATCTGGGGGGCCCAGGAACGGGGGTTAAAGCCCAGCACAGGGCTGGTTTGCAGCAGGGCGCGGCCCCAGCAACCCGAGACTCGCCTTGAAGGGGCGCCCCGACGGGTCCAGCGCCACCGGCACCTGGGGGATGGGCTCGCGGATGAAGTAGGGCTCGTCGGGGTGCAGGTCCTGCTGCTGCTGCTGCAGCAGCTGCTGGAGAGCCTGGTACTCCGCCTGGTACTGCTGTTGGTACTGCTGCTGGAAGAACTGGTACTGTTGCTGGTAGTACAGCGCCTGCTGCTGCTGCTCCGACAGCGAGCCGGCGGCCGGCACGTAGCCGCCCCACTGCTGAGGCGCTATCGCCGCCGCCGCCCCTGGCGGCATGCCTGCGGCCGGCATGGCATAGTAGCCGGGCGGGGCCTGCTGCGGCGCCTGGCGCCAGGCACGCGGCATGCCGGCGTGCCGGTTGGGGGACACTGAGAAGCTGGCAGCGGAGTGAACGGCAGGGATGAGGCCGGCGGTGGCGCTCACTTGGTCCTGCAGCAAGGCACTGGGGCAGCGGTCCAGTCGAGCGGCATGGCAAGCATCACAGGAAAGGTGGCCGAGGCTGGAAAGCAATGCCTGCTCCTGCAGGTCACTGCCCTGCGCCCAACCCCTCACCTGGTACAACGGTGGCAGCTTGGCGCCCTCATAGGGCGGCCAGCTAGAGGCCACATCCACGGCCTGCTCCTGCGGCATGCCAGGAATGGCCTGGGGAGCGCTGGCTGCCGCAGGCTGACCAGCGGCGGGTGAGTATGGGTGGCCAGGCTCCCTGCCTGCATCCTGCTGCCGCTGGCCCTCGCCCGGCAGGCCCAGCTCATCAGCAGGCGGAGCAGATGCGGCATCATCGGCTGTGGCCTCAGCTGCCGCCTCTCCTGCCGGGTCGGGCCCATCGGGTTTGGCTGGTGCCGAGGGCTCCGCTGCCTCTGATGGCAGGGTGGGGTCGCGGCTGGCTGCTCCTTGTGGCGGGCCGGCCTGGCCTGGCACCATGAGGCCTGAAGGCAGCAGGCCTGGCAGCAGGGCAAGGCCAGGTGGGGGACCGGGGAAGCCAGGACCGGCCAGGGGCCCAGCCGGGAACCAGCCAGTAGGAGGCCCCTGTGCCGGGGCCGCCACCGCGGCACGCCTGCTCCAGTGAAGCAGCGACTCTGGCGGCGCAGTGGCCAGCGCTGGGAATGCAGCAGGCACCGCGCCAGCACCCAACAGCTGCCGGGGCGCCTGGCCCTGTGCGGGCGGCGGCGCCATACTCAGCTGCTTGGGCACGCCAGCGCCTTTTGCCTTGCCGCCATGGCTGCCCTTGGCACTGCTGGCAGCTGCCAGGACCTCATTCATGCTGGGCTTGCTGAGCCGCCGGGCCGGGACAACAGCTCCAGGGCTGCCGCCGGCGCCACCTGCAGGACAGGCGCAGCGCAGACTTGTGTCGGTCAGTCTCCTTCTAGAAAACAAAAAATGCCTGCTTAAAAGAAACATGCCTGCTTTTATTTTCAGCTGCAAGGTGCCTGCTTACCGCTCTTGCTGGTGGAGGCCGCGGGTCCGGTGCGGTTGAGGGGCGGCATCTTGATGGCGGGGCTGCGACCCGCAGGCGGGCTGCGAGCTGTCGGGGCGGCAGGCGGGCTGTGCGTGCTGTGCGGGCTGCGCTGCCCCATGGGTGCCATGCGGTGGCTGGGGGACTTGGGCCCCGACTGCCCTGCAGCGCCGCCGGGGGAGGTCGAGGCGGCAGGCAGCAGGCCGTGGCCCTTCCTGCCATGCTTGGCGGCTGGGGGCGCCCACTTGAGCAGGCACGCAGGAGGGTCTGGTGAGGCGCCCGGCTCCGCTGGGCTGGCACAGTCAGCCTCGGCAGCCAGTGGCAGCGATGGCGGCAGGTCGGCCACCGCTGGCAGCTCGCCGCCAGGCTCAGAGGTGCTGCCGTCGTCGGCCAGAGCCTCCTCCTGCTCCTGCAGCTGCTCCTGGGACAGCACCTCCAGCAGCTTGGCAGACACCTCACGCTGGAACAGCTCGCTGTAGGCATCTGCCGCACCGCCGCCGGGCGGGTCGCCAGGCCCGATGCAGGTGGGCAGGCTCTCCAGAGCCGCGCTGGCAACGCTCTCCAGCGCGGAGGAGGCAGCCGCGCCCTCCCCGCGCTCCAGGGCAGGCAGCGCTGCCTGCTGTTCTGCCGCCTCCACCTCCGCTGCCGCACCATCGCGCTCAGGCTGGGCCAGGCTGTCATCCATGCCGGCCTGCTCTGCCGCAAAAGGAGCAGCGGCGGCTGCCTCGGGCTCCTCATCTGCCACGGTGCTGCCACCTGCTGGCAGGCCAGCTTCTTCTGGTGCGGCAGCCAGCTCTGCAGCAGCGGCACCCTCTGCATCTGCTGCTGTGGCAGCTGCATCCGCCAGGCCCGCCTCAGCGGGCGCATCTGGCGAAGCAGCCGTGGGGTCGGCAGCATCGATGATCAACTCTGCCATGTCAGCTGCCTCTGGCAGTGGCTCGGCGAGCAGCTCCTCCTCCTCCACCTCCACCTCAGCTCCATCCCGATCAGCACCCTCCTCAGCACCGCCTTGGCTGCCTTCTGCTGCTGGCACTGGCGGAAACACCAGTGCATCTGTGGCCTCGCAATCGGCAGCTGGGGTTGCGGCGGCCTCCACGTCCTCTGCCGCTTCCTCTGCCGCCTGCGGCTCTGCTTGCTGCGGCTCTGTACCGCCCTCTGGCAGCTCCTCCAGGCCTAGCTGGGCAAACATGTCCTCCATCAAAGCCGCGCCGGATGTGTCCAGCGCTGCAGCGCTGCCGATGCCGGCCTGGCTGGCCTGCGGCAGCAGAGCAGCAGGGTCTGCAACATCTGCCCGGGCTGTCCTGTCATCCCCAACCGTGCCATCGTCCTGTGCCGGCAGGCGCGGACTTGCTATCTCTGTTGCCGCTGCTGGATGGGGCTCATCCATGTAGGCCTCCTCCGCGGAGGCCGCCGCGGGCAGCTCCTGAAGGGAAGGAAAGCAGCGCCAAGGCAGAGTTTGGGTATGCATCGCGTCCTGGATCTGACCTTTCCCCACGCAGCTGCACAGCAACCAAGCCAGTGCGCCCACCGCCCACCTCCGGCGCTGCCAGAGTCACTGGCTCTGGTACATCCGAGTGCTCGGACATGAGTGCCACCACCTCCGCTTCAACTGCAGCGGGTAAGCAGCAGCACAAGGGATGTCTACTTCTGTGATTCTTAATGTACATGAAGCACCTCCATCCTATTCTGCGGCAGGGCGTTTGGAATGCAGGCTGTAGCCATGAGGCGCACTCACCCTGGTCCTGTCGTGGCGAGGAGAGGCCGCCCTCGGGCGCCGGTTCTGCCGGCTCAGCCTCCATGCCCTCGGCTGCCGCCCTGGCCACTGAATCCGCGAGCACAAGGCCGTTGGTTTTGAGCCTGGGATTTGATTTACGAGGCAGCTCCCCTCGGGGCCGCTGGTCAACGCTGGTGCTGGTCTCGGAGGGGCAACGGTCTGCAGGCCCTGTGGCGCCTCCCAAGCCTCAATTGGCACCTGCACGGAGGAGAGCGGGGCCCTTTGGAAGTATCGCATGGCCTGCTGCTGCGAGTGCTGCCGGTCTGCGTGTCCCCGCCGCCACTCGAAAACCCGTGATGCAAAACCCTGCCTCCATTCTACCTCCACCCGCTGCGGCATTCCAAGCCTGCCCTCAGGGCTACCACAAGCAACCTTCCCCACCTCCGGACTGCACTCTCCCCGTTTACGCTGAGCCTAGCCCCTCATGCCCGGGGTTCCCACGTGAGTGTGTTGCCATGCTGCCTTTGCCTCTGCGGCAAGCCTAGGCGAGGGGCGGGGCACGCTGCTCAGCTTCTGCAGTGAACCCCAAGCCACAGGAGCTGCCGCCCGCTTGCCAAGCCCACAAGAGCGATCTGAACGCCTTGAGGATGCAGCTGCAGGGCCAGGCGCACACCAGCCGCCAGTGCACACCTGATCAGGCCGCCGGCACGCTGTTGGCCCTCCATTTTGCAGGTCGGCCGGCGCACCCGCACCAATCTCCACAGGCAAGATGGCTACCGGCGAGAAGGGCGACGATCTGCGTCGCCTGGTGAGCGGGGGACGGGGTCGTTAGTCATGCGCGGAGGGAACAGCGTTTGGCAGCCTCCCCCAAACGCCTTGCAACCATGGAAGCACGGGGTTGGCCTCGCGGCGCGCGCTCCAAGGCCCGCCGCCACCGACCCGTGCCCTGCCGCTGCCGCCGCCACAGGTCAACGAGGCGCACCCGCCCCGTGCCGCCGACCTCGCCGAGCTGCACAGCTTGCAGAAGACGCGCAAGGAGCGCGGTGAGGCCCTGGCAGCATGGTGGGGGCGGGGCTGCACGCTGCGGGGCTCCCCACAGCCTCCCATGCCCTGCCTCGCGCCCGCCGTCGCGCGCAAGGGTATCGAGGGCTTGCCGCCGCACCTACGGCAGTGCCTACCACACCTTGCGGGGCCTCCGCCGGCCCGCCCCTTCCCTCCAACCCCGCTCCCACCCCCTTCCCTGCCTCCCTGCCTCTCCCCTGCAGATGACACCGCCAAGACGGCCTCTCTGACGGCCACCCTCAAGTCGGGCGCCCGCGAGGTGGGCCCCCGCGTCGTGGTGCGCGAGCCCAAGCACCTCTACCTGCCCCAGTCGCCCCGCTCCCGCGCCGCCGCCGAGGAGGAGCAGACCGACCTCATCAAGGAGATGTTCCACGAGATGGGAGACATCGGGCTGAAGCCGGTGGTGGTGTACCACAACCTCAGGTGGGCGTTGTGGGGGGGTGTGGGCGCCCTCGCATGGGGAGGGGTATCCCATGCCCGCGCCCGGCAGCGGCGCAAGGGTTTGGGCGCAGGCAGCTGCGCGCGTGGCGTCTCGGGTTTGCGGCCGCAGGCCTGCGCGTCGCTATTGCAGACCCCCGCGCGCTTGCATGCATGCACCTCCCCCCTTGCCTCTCCCGCCTGCCGCCGCCATGTGACGCCTCAATGGCCGCCCACCCACCCTCCCTCCTCTCCCTGCCCCTCCTCTCCGTGCAGCGTGCCCGAGCTGTACGAGCATGCCCTCAAGTACGAGCCCTCCACCCACATCGTTGCCTCGGGAGCCCTGGCCACCCTGTCGGGCGCCAAGACCGGCCGCTCCCCCAAGTGAGCCCGCCCGCGCGTGGGGGCATCAGTCTGGCAACACGCGGCAGCCAGCAGCCACAGCCAGTTGTGCTGCTCCTCGCCCGCCAGCCAGCCCCTTCTGTACTCCCCACCACCCTGCTCTCCCCTGCCTCGCACCTGGCCGCTCCAGCCGGCCTTCCTCTGCCCCGCCGCCACCACCTGAGCCTCCCCCTGTCCCCTCTTTCCTTCCCTTCCTCCCTGCTTGCCCCCCCCCCGCAGGGACAAGCGCGTGGTGCGGGAGCCCGACAGCGAGGCCGACATCTGGTGGGGCGCCGGCTCCCCCAACTACGAGATGGATGAGCGCACCTTCATCCTCAACCGCGAGCGCGCCGTCGACTACCTCAACACCCTGGACCGCCTGTACGGTGAGCGGTGGGGGGCTGCAGGGCGGGGCAGGCTGGGCTGGTGGGTGCGGCAGGCCGCGCCGGGCTGGCTGGTGCGGCAGGCACAGAGGGCGGCTGGGCAGGCACGTACAGTCAGGTGGGCGTGAGGTTGGCAGGAGTCGGGGCACGCCGGCTGGGCACCAGAGCAGAGGAGGGCATGCGAGAGGGGCCGCCCCAGGCCCTGGCGGGATCCGACTGGCTGCCGTGTGCGCCCGCCCCGCCCGCCCCCTCCCCCTGCAGTGTTTGACGGCTTTGCGGGCTGGGACACGCAGGCGCGGTTCAAGATCCGGGTGGTGTGCGCCCGCCCCTACCACGCCCTCTTCATGAACAACATGCTCATCCGGTGCGCGCGGGAAGGAGGGCGCACGCGGGTGCAGAAGCATACAGGGCCAGAGGCGGCAGGCGGCCTGGGGTGTAGAGACAGCAGGCGGCCTCCCCTGACCCCGCTCGCCTCCCACCCTCGCCTCCCCTGACCCTGCTCCCCTCCCGCCCTCGCCTCCCTCTCCTCCCGCAGTCCCACCGAGGACGAGCTGCACACGTTTGGCGCCCCCGACTTCACCATCTACAACGGCGGCGCCTTCCCCGCCAACCGCTACACCTCCTACATGACCTCCTCCACCTCCATCGACGTCTCCCTCAAGCACAAGGAGATGGTGAGCGTGCGCGCGGCGGCGGCGGCGGCGGCGGTGTGCGTGTGTGTTTGTGTGGTGGCTGGATGGAGGGAGGAGCAGCGCACGGGCGGTGGCTTGCGCGGGGTGGTGTGTTTGGTGCAGCGGCGAACAAGTCACCCCAAGCCTGCCTGCTCGCTCACCTGGCTTACCTGTCCTGCTGCTCCCTCCCCGCTCCGCCCCGCCCCGCCCGCGCAGGTCATCCTGGGCACCCAGTACGCGGGAGAGATGAAGAAGGGCGTGTTCAGCCTCATGAACTACGTGCTGCCCAAGATGGGCATCCTCTCCCTGCACTCGGGCTGCAACGAGGGCAAGGACGGCGACGTCACGCTCTTCTTCGGGCTGTCAGGTGGGTGCCGGGGGGGTGGGAGCGGAGGGCGCGGCCTTGAGGGAGGGCGCGGCTCGAGTGCGCTCTCTGTCCTGAGCGGGAGGGGGCCGGGCAGGCCCTTGGGTGCTGCCGCACTCGGGATCGGTTTGGCCGAGGCGCTGCCGCTCGCATCGTGCTCCAGCCCCGCCACCCTGCCCCCCCGGCCGCCGCCCCGCCCCTCCCCGCAGGCACCGGCAAGACCACGCTGTCTGCCGACCCTCACCGTCCACTCATCGGGGACGACGAGCACGGGTGGAGCGACCGCGGCGTGTTCAACATTGAGGGCGGCTGCTACGCTAAGGCCATCGGCCTCAAAGAGGTGGGGCGGCGGCGGGCCGGCTGCCGCGCAGGCTGGGCATGGCATGGCATGGCTGGGTGAAGGCGGGCAGCGGGGGCTTGTGGCACCACAGCACGACAGCCAGCCAGCCAGGCATTACCAGCCGGTATTACCAGCATGGCTGCTGGCTCTCTCTTACAGGGGACCGACCCTGCGACCCACCACCACCACACACACAACAAACACACACACGCGCCCCCCCCCCCCCCCCAGGAGAACGAGCCCGACATCTTCCACGCCATCAAATTTGGCTGCATCCTGGAGAACGTGGTGTTTGACGAGGAGACGCGCTCCGTGGACTACGACACCTCTCGCATCACCGAGAACACGCGCGCATCATACCCCATCGAGCACATCGGTGAGGCGGATGGATGGATGGATGGATGGATGGGGCTGGGGCTGGGGGCTGGGGGGAGAGGCAGGGCGTGGGGCTGGCGGAAGAGGCAGGGCAGGAGCGGGTGGGTAGTGCCTGGGGCATAGAGCGTCCCTCGAGCGACGCTGGGCTGGCCTGGCGTGTGGAGCAGCCCTTGGGCTGGCCTGGCTGCCGGCTGCGGCTGCCCGGTTTGCTCACAGCTCTGAGCGTGCGCCCTCCCCCGCCTGCCTCGTGCAGAGAACGCCAAGATCCCGTGCGTCGGCGGCCACCCCAAGGTGCGGCGCGGGCCCACAACTCATGTGCTGCTGAGCCTGGCACTGGTGGCTGTGCCGCTCAGCCTGGGGCTGTGCCTGGCCCGCCAGCTGCACCTTTCTGACCCCTGGCCGTCATTGCTTCGTCCCTTGTTGTGCAGAACATCATCATGCTGTGCTGTGCGTTCCCCCGCGCCTGCTGCTTGCTGAGTTGGAGCGCTGCGCGTGACGCAGCCTGTGCCGCCGCTGCCGCCTTGGGTGCCTGTGGGCTGCAGTCGTGGACAGCCATGCATGGAAGTAACCTGCTCGGCGTTGCTTCCCGGTGCAGGCGATGCCTTTGGCGTGCTGCCCCCCGTGGCCAAGCTCACCAAGGAGCAGGCCATGTGAGTTGTGGCGGCTGGCTGCCGCGAGCCAAGCGCCTTCCACCATCTTGGCTGCCTCTCCCGCCGCGGCTGCTTCTGCAAGCTGCGCTCACCTGTGGCGCTGCCCTGCCTCCCCTGATGGTACTGCAGGTACTACTTCATCTCCGGCTACACCGCCAAGGTGGCGGGTACGGAGCAGGGCGTGACGGAGCCGGAGGCCACCTTCTCCGCCTGCTTCGGCTCCGCCTTCCTCATGTGGCACCCGGTGAGGCGGCGGGGGTGGAGGTGGTGCTGCGCATGATGTGGTGCGCGGGTGGGACAGGGCGGCAATTTTGCGGCAGGGTTTTGCGCAGGCCTGGCTGCCGACTGTACGCTGCGCTGCTCATCCGCACTCCCCCCACCTGGGCTTGCAGACCAAATATGCGTCCATGCTGGCTGAGAAGGTGGAGAAGCACGGCGCCCACGTCTGGCTCATCAACACCGGTGAGACTTTGAGGCGCTGCTGTCTGTCCTCACAGGTGTCTTTAGAGGTGGCCGCACAGGGCTTACCGCCCCGCACGGAGCGGCTGCGGTCCCGCTGCCTCCCAACGCGTCCCGCTCTGCCTGCCCTGCAGGCTGGACGGGCGGCCCGTACGGCGTGGGCTACCGCTTCAAGCTGCGCCACACCCGCGCCATCGTGGACGCCATCCACAGCGGCGAGCTGGAGGCAGCGCAGTACGAGACGATGCCCACCTTCAACCTGCAGGTGGGGCCGCCGACCGCCGGCGCTGCCTGCTGGCACTGCTTGCAGGGTTGCGGCGCACATGGCAGCCAGCGCTGCTTGGCCTTCCTGCCTGCCCACCTGCCTGCCCGCTCTCCAGCACCAGTGAACCTGCTCACCCGCACCCGCGCTGCCCCCGCCTCGCCCGCAGGTGCCCAAGGCGGTGAGCAACGTGCCAGCGGAGGTGCTGCTGCCCATCAACTGCTGGGCGGACAAGGAGAACTACACCAAGACGCTGTCCCACCTGGCGGAGCTGTTCCAGAAGAACTTGTGAGCGGGGGCTGCCGGCTGGTCCTGCAGTCGAGGCTGGGCTTCGTCACGTGTGCGCCCGGTGCCGTCGAGTGGCGGCTGCTGCTGCTGCCGCTGCTTGCCTCTGAACGTCTCGCCTGCCTGCCTCGCTCCGCTCCCTTGCTCCCTGCAGCAAGAAGTTCGAGGACGGCGGCGGCCATGTGACGGCGGAGGAGGCGCACCAGATCCTGGCGGCCGGCCCCACGCTCTGAGCCGGAGCCGCCGCCGCCACGTGATAGCCTGCCTGCCGAGCGCCGGCAGGCGGCGCTGCCGCGGCGCGCAGCGCTCCGCGTGCCCCAGGAGGAGGCAGGCCCTCCCTCGCGGTGCGCATCCGGCGCCCAGGCAGCCACGAGCTCACCCTTTAGTAGCCGTAAGCAACGGAACATGCCTGTATACTGATTTTTCCGCCCCCCACCCCCTGTCCCCACCCTTTTTCCACCATTCGCTTTGAAAACCGTCCGTGCCCCCTCTGTTTCCTGGTTCCGTCAGTGCCGCCACGTTCCGTCAGTGCCCCAACCCTGCTGCCCCCTAGATGCATCTGCTTTTTTGCTGTAGGCGAATGATGCCCGTCTGCTTGCTTGCTCGCTCTCACACACACATACCATTCCACCCGCTGCGTCGCCCTGGCACACAGCTGGGCACGCCCACAATTAACTGTCATTGCAAGTCACGAGTCTGTGTCTGTGCTGGGCGGGACATCCCAATGATACGTGCATGCTTAATTGTAAACAGCATCAAACGACTTGAGGCAGGAGCCGCGCTGGAGCCGCTGACTAGGCAGGGACCTCTCTCACCAGGCTGCATTTCTCCTTTCCTTTTTGGGAGGGCCCCTCCCGTCCAAGGTTGCCAACCAGCATGCAGCAGGCCCGGGCAGCGGTGGCCTCTGGCGGCGGTCCGCAGGGCGCCCAGGAGGAGCGGCAGTGCTACGAGGACGAGGAGCTGTCCTTCATCGAGCCCGTCTATGCCACCCGCACCGCCATGCACCCCGCACCCAAGCACGAGTACGTGCCTAACCCAGGCTTGCTCCAGGCGTGTCCCCAGGCCTTGGCCGGCCTGGGAGAGGTGGCCCCACAACTCCCCGCTTGTCAGCCATGCTGTATGCCCTCCGCCGTCCGCCGCAGGATGCCGCGCCGCACGATGCCCGCCTACATGGCGAAGGCGCTCGTGGAAGACATGCTGCAAATGGACTTCAACCCACGGTCAGCCAAACCCACTGCTCAGGTTCCCTGCCAGCCGAACCACACGGCCTGCCTCTGCCGAGCAACTCACCCCAGGCTGCCCGCCAGCAGGCACCTCCAGCCAGCCTTGTTTGCCTCCAAGGCCTGCCCACTGGCGCTGCCGTTGGGCCGCCTCCCATGCCTTGCAGGCTGAACCTGTCCACCTTTCTGTCCACCTGGATGGAGGCTGAGGCACAGGAGCTGATGGTGAAGGTGGGGCAGGACCCTCTCCTGTTGCTACAAGCCTGCACTGCGCCACCCTTTTCGAGGGCCACCCCACGAGCCGGTGTAGCTGCCGCCATGCCTGCTGCCTGCCGCCTGCAGGTCGCCGCCTACAACATGGCCGATGCGGTTCAGTACCCCTCGGCTGCAGAAATGGAGAAGCGGTGGGGAGGGCTGCCTGTGGGGGGGATGGCGAGCAGCTGGAGGCGCCGCGCCCAGCTGGGACGCGCTGCCCAGCAGCCTGCCGCCCTGCCATCGGGCCCTTGGGGTGCCCTGCTGTGCTGCAGGTGCATCAGTTTTCTGGCAAAGCTGTGGCACTGCCCCGATGACGACTTTGTGGGCACAGGTGGGTGGATGAAAAGCAGGCGGTGTGCCTGGGTTGGCAGGAGGCCAACGGTGGCAGCTGTGCCTTGCCAGCACGGCGGCGGGCCATCACAGATGCACCATACCTCTCGCCGCCGGCTGCGCCGCGCCCTGCTTGAAGGCTGCGTGGGCAGCAGCGAGGCATGCTACCTTGGGGGCCTGGCGATGAAGAAGAAGTGGCAGCAGGCTCGGCGTGCCGCGGGGCTGCCCATAGACCGCCCAAATCTGGTGCTCAGCCACGTGGCGCAAGTGTGCTGGCAGAAGGTGGGCGGGCACGCAGGCGGCCTACCTGCCTGCCCTCCTTCCCTGCCCACCCTCTGTGCATTCCTCCTTTCCCCTGTGCCCCCCCAGTTCTGCGTCTACTTCGATGTTGAGCCTCACTATGTCGACGTGACCCACGACTGCCTGGGTGAGCTTTGGGGCCTCGCGGGGGCGGGGTAAGCCATGGCCCAAGAAGAGCAGTGGGCACCCGGCTGATGGTTTGTACAGCCCTGGATGGGAGTAAGTCTGCCTGCCTACCTGCCTGCCTGCCTGCAGTGATGGACCCTCAGAAGATGAAGAATCACATCGATGAGAACACACTTGGTGCGAACGGCAGGGGCTGGGGGTAGCGGGGGACAACAGGAAGCGGCCATTCAAACTCCCCCTCGGGGCCTGGATGCCCTAAACGATGCGCCCTCTGCCCCATCTGCTGCCGGCTGCACCGGTGCAGGAGTTGTGGTGATGATGGGCAGCACGTACAACGGGCAGTATGAGCCGGTGGAGGAGGTGGATCGAGCTCTGGAGGAGATCAAGAAGGTTGGGTGCAGCAGGCGGGGTGGCAGCAGGCTGAGCAATCCTTCGGGCTCCCTGCCTTGATGACAACTGTGCCTGATCTGCCCTGCGTCCTGTCCTGTGTGCAGGAGAAGGGCTGGGACATCCCGGTGCACGTGGACGCCGCCAATGCAGGAAGGGGCACCCCCGGGCTCGCTGGCCTGGCTCTTGCATGCCGCAGCCGACCTGCCGCAGCCCGCACCAGCGCCGGGAACGAGAGCTGCCTGCCTCCGCGTGCGCCCCTCCTCCCCACTCTGCAGGCCTGGTGGCGCCGCTGTGCCAGCTCGGCGTGCGCTTCGACTTCAGCCTGCCGCACGTGGCGTCCATCAACGTGAGCGGGCACAAGTACGGGCTGGTGTACTGCGGGGTGGCCTTCCAGGTGTGGCGCAGCCGAGCCTGGCTGCCCAAGGACATGGTGTTGACCGGTGAGGCCACGCCGCCCTGCGTGCCGTGCGCTGGGCTCCCTACTGCCTGCTGCACTCCCTGGTGGCCACCCTTCCGTCCTCTGCCGAGCTGCTGGCCGGCATTTGGCAGCTGCTGCTGAGCAGCAAGGCTGTCTCCTCCCCTCTGGGGCACCTCACCGTGCAGTGGACTACCTGGGCAAGGAAGAAAGCAACCTGACCGTCAACTTCAGCCGACCAGGGGCCCAGATCGTGGCCCAGGTGGCGTCGGGAGGGCGTCGCGGGCAGGGCAGGGCGGGGCAGCCTTGATTGATGCACAGGTTTCTGCGGTGACGAATGAGCCGGGTCGCTGCTGACCTTGCCTTTTTCGTTGCCGGGCTTTGTTGCGGTACCGTGCAGTACTATAACTTCATCAGGTTCGGGAAGGCAGGCTACCGCCGCATGTTTGACAACCTGTTTGCTGTCTGTTGTCACCTGGCCGCCAAGCTGGAGGAGACAGGTGGGTCAGGGTTGGCAGCAGTGTGCGGATAGTCTGGCAGCTGGCAGCAGGCATGCCAGCACAGCAGTGCAACCACGCGAGCAGGACTGCATCGTGACTGCATCCTCAATCCTGTTCTGCCCTGCCCGCTGCAATGTCCTGGCTGCCAGGCCACTTTGAGATTCTATCCACCGGTGACGTGCCGGTGCTGGCTTTCCGGCTGAAGCCCCTCACCACTGCGCTGGGCCTGGAGAAGTAGCGGTGCGTGTGGGGTGGGGCGCTGAGGAGCCGGCCGCGACCCCGGCCTGCAGTGCTGGTACTGCCTTCGCCAGCCAGTCCGGCCCATGGCTTAGCTACGCTGCAGCGCTTTCATCAATGCTTCACTGTTGCTGCCCCCTGGCCTGCCTGCCTGCCTGCAGCACCTACAACGAGTACGAGTGAGTGGCAGCTAGGCGGCGCCTGATGCGTCCAGCAGCTTTGGCTATGCGCAAAGCCTGTGGCAGGGCCGGAGTGGCCGGTGCAGCACGCATGCTGCTGCCTGCACCGTCGCACGATACTGCGCGCACGCACCCCATCTAACTGCAGCATCATGATGGGCCTCAGCGAGCACCGCTGGATGGTGCCGGCCTACAAGATGGCGCCGCAGGCCAGGCGCGCACGCAGACGCCTGCCAGCTGGCCCCACCCCCTGCCACAACTCCCTTGCCTGCTACCGCTCCCTGCCCTGGCAACCACTCTGCTCCTGCCAATCATCCACCGCCCTCTGGCCCCTCCGCCGCGCAGCGACCTCCACCTGCTGCGCGTGTGCCTGCGTGTGGGGATGGATGAGGAGATGGCGGAGCTGCTGGTCCACCACATCCAGCAGGTGGGGCAGCTGCGGGGAGGCCTGCCCTTAAACTGTGCATGGCTGCGCCCTCTGCTTGGAAGCCTGCGCCGGGATGGCGCCGTGCCAGCATGCCGCTCCTGCTGTCTGCATCGCAGGTGCTTGAGAAGCCGGACAGGCACACCACCTCCGCCGTTCCCTTGCCTGGCCAGGCATACCAGGAGAGGCAGGAGCAGCTGGCACAGGAGTTCAAGCAGCGTGCAGGTCCCTGCTGAGCCCAGTGAAGAGGGGACCAGATGGAGGATATGCTAGGTGGGGATGCCGGGGCACCCGCCGATGAGTTGGGGCAACAGCACAGCGCCTGCGAGCGTTGGGTTTATGCCTGGTAGGTGCAACGTCTGTACAAATTCATGTAAGTCATGACATGTGGGTTAGTCATAGCCCAAGGACCAGGCAGGCAGGGTTCACACTGCTTGGCACAAATCAGGCCGGGGTTGCAAGGACACACGCATGTTGGAGAAGCGCAGGGGAATGAGCAGAGGAACAGACAGCGGTAGGCTGCCGCCTCATCAGCAAGGCTCCCAGCTCAAGTGAGGTCCACCACCTCCTCCTCCTCAACCTCACCCTCCTCCTCACCCTCCTGAGGCGCAGGCGGCAGGCCCACCCGGCTGTCGCTGGAGGCAGGCTCTGCCACAGTGGCGTGCGGCACCACAGCGCCCCAGCCGCCGCCGCCACCGGCTGCAGCAGCCGCTGCCACCGCCCTAGCCGACGCGGCAGCTGCAGCCTGCTGCCCCTGCTGCTGCCGCTGCTGGGAAGCCAGGCGGGCCTCGGCAGCGGCAGCCAGCACCTCACGGCTGGGCAGCCTGCGGGCAGCGCCGCCCCGCCCACGACCAGCAGGCGGCTTTGGCGGTGGCGGCCCTGGGGTGGGACGCGGACGCGGGAGGCGCGAAGGTCGGGCAGGCTGCTGCTGGCGCTGCTGCTGGCCAGGCGCGGGCGCTTGTGATCTGCCTGGAGGTGCTGGCGCTGCTGCAGGGCTGTCGGGGGCGCCTGCCGGGATGTAGCCGGCAGTGATGGATCGGATCCTGGATGTGCGGCCCTCCCACTGCGGCCCCTGCCCCTGCCCCAGCTCCTGCAGCTGCCGCTGCAAAGGGGTGGACCTGATGCGAGGCACGTGCCCCGGCTGCTGCTCCTGCTGCGCTGCCTGTGTCAACGGACCGGCAGGCAGGTCAACCGCAGGAAGGTCCACAGCCGCATAAGAGTCCCCCGGCTGCTGCAGTACGGCAGCAGCACCGGATGCGCTCTGTGCCTGGCCGCCCGGCGCCAGCAGCCTGCGGCCAGGGCCCCGCATCGGCAGCCGCGGCTGCGCCGGACCTGCGCGCTCCCCCTCCTCCCCACGCTGCTCCTGGCGCTGAAGCGGGGGCTGGCTGGGCGCCTCCGGCTGGCGTGGCTGCGGCAAGCAGCCCCAGGGCAGCGCTGGGCTGTCGCCACCCGCTGCACCTGCGCCAGGTGTCGCAGCAGGGGTGTGGGGGTGTCGGGCCCCTGTGCCGTGCCCCTCGTCTTCTGAGGACGAAGAGCAGCTCATCCCTGCCTCGTCATCCTCAGCATTGGTGCCCCTGATAGCAAACCGGGCCTGCAGGCACACGAAAGACAGGTCGAGGCACCTGCGGCTGTGACCCAGCTGGCTCGTTGTACAACACACGGCAACACCGCTGCCAGCCCGGGTGCACACCTGCCCTGGGAAGCGCCTCCTGCCGCCGCGGCCGCGGCCGTGGCCTCGGCCAGGCCCGTGCCCGCCGCCCGCCGCGTCCTCGCGCCGCCGCTTGGCCCCGGCTGCGACCTCCGCATTTGGGTGCTTTATGCGGGCGCCAGCCAGGTAGGCAGCCACTAGCAGCGAGTCTGCCCTTTGCACGCAGTTGGCCGCCGCCAGGTCTTCGATCAGCAGCGGGAAGAGTGTCTGGGGCGCAGGAGGCAGCAGATGGAGGCGGAGCAGGTTCAGGACAGTCGCAGCGCTGGTGCTGACAGGTGGCAGCAGCCAATGAGCAGGGCAGGGCTGCCTGCCAGCCAGCCAGCCTGCGGGGCAGTGGCACCTCCCGAACCCACCTTGGCGCGCCGCACCGCCTTGTCGTCGCGGCTGCCCTCCCCGCTGAGCTCTCCCTGCAGCGTGAGGGGCTGCAGGGCAGCCGCGCAGGCACAGGGAGGAGTCAGGCCAATGCCAACCGAACGCTACCGCGCGAGCGGGGCGCCAGCGGGTGGCCAGCGGGGTAGAGCTGGGCGCACCCACGCCCACCTGACTGATGGCCTGAAGCGTCAGGCTTTCCAGCGACATGTGGGGGCGATCATCCCCCATCTGCAGCAATGGGAAAGCGCATGCAGAGCGGGGCAACCTAAGGCATGGTAACGTTCTGGCCATTCCGACCCCTGCTGGCACCAGAATCCCAGGCGCTGAAGCCCAGGCATGCCCAGCACAGCCATTCGCCTCTGCCATGCCATGCGCACCTGCTCCAGGGCGTGCTGCACCTGATCATAGGCAGAATGCACGGCATGGCGCGCGGAGCTGCAGAGCGGCACGGCAGCAGGGGTGCGGGTGCCAGCCAGTCAATACATAGGACACAAAGCAACAGATGCCAGCTGTTGCGCGAGGTGCCGGCTGCAGAGTGCCATGCGCGACATGACGCCACTCCTCCTCATAGTCTGCCCGTCCCTCCTCATCGCCAGGCTCACTCACTTGCCGGCGGTGCTGTGGCTGAAGGTGCGGTCTGCGTTGGTGTGGTGGTTGATGACGACCACTGCCGAAGCGGTCGCAGAGGGCGGCTCGTCAGGCACCAGGGAGGCCATGAGGCTGCGGAAGCGGCTCTCAGCCAGGGCGCTGCAGGGGGGGGGGGGCAGGGCAGAGGGCAAGGCATGAGGGAGGAGGTCGGGGTTGGGATAGGAGCTCAGCTGCCTGCGTGTAATGTGTGCTGGAGCTGCCGGAAGGGCTCACTGATGGAGAGCAACCACTCACCCGTCCTCGCGCGGCAGCTCATGCAGCGAGGCGGTCACCCCCGGCAGCCAGATGGCGGGGTGGCGGGTTGTCCTGCCAGCGTTGGCTGCGTTGCGCCAGGTCAGACGGGCCACGCAGCCCTTGGCGCCTGCGCCAGGGCAAGGTGGTTGTGGTGGTGTGCAGGCGGCGTGGGGATGCAGGAGGGAGGCTTGCCTGGGCTGGCTAGGTAGGCTGCCTCCCGCTCTTGCAGCCTGCCATGCTGCTGCACCTTCAATCCACCTACCCGGGTTCACAACGACCAGGTTGGCTTGCTTCCCCGGGTCCAGCAGCGCATCCGGCACCTTCTGGTGCACCTTGCTGGTGAGGCTCACGCGCAGCTCATCTTCCTCCATGCTGCACGCTGTGATGAGAGGTGGAGAGCTTGGCTGGCGGCGGCAGGCGCATGCGCCGGGCGGCTGACGAGGCTGCGGCGGCTGCGGCGGGGGCCGACGGAGCGGCGGCCGCGCGGGGTTGGTGGCTGCACTCGCAACAGCGACTAACGAGGCACGGCGCGGCGATGTCTGCGGGTGAGAGAGCTGGAGAGTGGCGTGCCAAAGGAGATAGGGTGGGAGGGCAGGGGTCTCGGCCCCACCCACGATCCTCCCGAGGCAAGACACGCAGACGAGGATCGCAAACTCCTCGCTCCCCCTGGACGGGTTGTCTTCTGTCGCGTGGGTGAGCAGCCAGAGGTTGTTTCATACTTTCCTCGTCGGCCCGCCCGCCACCTGGGCGCCGCCGCACACCTCTCCTCCTCTCCTTTGCTTGTCATTTGTTTGTCAAGCAATTGCAGTATCACACACACACAACAAGCTAATGGGCCAGTATCAGCAGCTCTCAGGATGGCTCGGGCACAAAATGGCCGAAAATGCGCAGCAGCGAGGTCCTGGACACGGGCGGCTCGGCCCTCGAAAACCAGGCCTGGCGGATGGGCGCCTCAATGGTGCCCCAGTCCCCTCGGAAGAACATCCACTCACAGGGGTCATCCACAACCACCTCTGGCACCGAGCTGCCGCTACAGCCGCTGTTGGCAGCAGGCGCGCCGCCGTTGGCTGCCGGCACAACGCCGTCTGCGGAAGTAGAGGACAGGGAGGAGCCCCGAGACGGGACCTGCAGCAGGCTGCGGCTGCCGAGCCGCCGCACAGGCCTGCCGCTACTGACGTAGCCGCTGCCGCTGCCGCTGCCTCCGGGCGCGGCTCTCCCATCCTCTGCTGCATGCTGCCCTGCAAGGCTGAGGGCGCCCAGGCCGGCCTCTAAGCTGTCCGCCTGGCCCTCGTCCCCCTGCTGCTCTGCTGGGGCATCATCCAGGCGCACGGAGCCGTGGCAGTCGGTGGCGCCTGCAGGCGAGGCGAATGGCAGCCTGCCTGAATCAGTGCTGCCAGCTGCTGCCGAGACGGACTGTACACCTCCAGCATCCACCGCGGAGCAGGGGCCCAGCCCCGAGGCCGCCTCACCAATGGGAGCCAGCGCCTCGCCCGCGGCGGCCGCCTCTGCCTCCCGGTGCAGCGGCGGCAGCAGCACGACCCGGCGCGGGCGCCACACGGGGCCCGCCCCGCTGCACAGGTCGTTGCCGAGGAAGAAGTGGCGCAGGACGCGGCCGGGGCGCGGGTAGGTGCCGTGGCCGTGCAGCGCCACATAGGCCGCCACGCGCCCGGTCTGCGGGTCACGCGGCACCTGCGTGGCAGCGGCGGCAGACATGGCGGTTCTGTTCTTAGGTCAGCACAACAACGGTCAGCACAACATCAGCCAGCACAGCAACGGTGGCCAGGCTGGCGTCTTGTGCTTGCGCCGTTCCGTGCCGGCTGGCGTCCGGCGCAAGCGCAGGGGCGCCGGCGCCAGGCCAGGCCTGCCGCCGTGCCCGAGCTCACCTGTGGTCCCGCCACCCAGCAGCCGTCCCGGCAGCGGTGCGCATTGTACCACATGCCCAGCAGCTCCCCAGTAGTCGGGTGCACCCTGCGGGCGGGCAGGCGCCAGAGGTGGGGCAGCGCCACCAGCCGCAACCGCAGCATGCGCGGCGGCGCCACCAGCGGCTTGGCACAAAAAGGCAGCCCGGGCTTGCCCACCTGGCGGTGCAGTGCTCCCAGTCCCCATCGTGGTCACCAGTCTTGATGAGCCCCACCCCACCCACGCGGTACGCGCCGTTGTGCGCATACAGCGTGATGTAGGTCAGCTCCAGCGCCTCCACCGTGCAGCCGTCGGGCCCCAGGATGAGCTTGGGGTGTGCGAAAATGGGCACATCATCCAGCGCCTCCTGCACGGCAGGGAGGGAAGATGCACAAGGCGATAGGGGAGAGGAAAGCTGGGGATGAGCGGCCAAGGGGAACGACCTGAGCAGCTGGCATGGGTGGCCCAGCCAGCAGCCAGCAGCCCACCTGGGGCATGCCCCGGCGGGCGGCAGGGTCGAGGTTGAGCCAGAGGCGGCAGCCTGGCGGCACCGCCCGCTGCGCCTCCAGCAGCAGCGGCGCTGCCACGCTGCCTTGCGGCAGCAGCAGGGCGCTCCTGCCGTCCACCTCTGCCCGCAGCTCGCTGTGCTGCAGGAAGAATTCGGCTGTGCAGGGCATGAAGCGGTCGGCTGGGTGCAGGAAGAAGGCCGGCGCGTGGCGGGCCACCACGCCGCACAGCCAATCCAGGTCGACCCCACCCGCCATTGCGGCGCCCTATTATGTCTTGACACTGGCGCTCCTGCCGCCAGCTGTCGTTATTGCTGTTCAGATGCCGCGCTGCTGCCCTGCGCCGCCTGCTGCTGCGGCTCCTGCTGCGGCTGCTTGCCCTGCTGCCCCCCAAAGAAGCCGTCTAGCCAGGTGGTGATGCGGGTCTGGTTGGTTCCCTGCAGTGGGCACAAGGGGCAGGCAATGTGCATCGCACATGCGGCAGCAGCAGCAGGGATGCGACCGGCGCAGCCAGGTGCACCGCGGCAGCGGCTCCAGCTGGCGCCCCACCCGCTCTCGCGTGTAGCACTCCCAAAAGACCTTGTGCTCCTCGGTGCAGCAGCCCGTGAAGGAGGAGACGAAGGTGCAGGTCTTGAAGCAGGCCACCAGCGCGGCTGCAGTGGGAGGAGCCAGGCGCAGTCGGTCGGGGTTGGTGGCGGGAGGCAGCGGCACGGGTGCCAGTTTGGCAGGCACGGGGCGCAGGCATCGCGCACCGTGCGGATCCACGCAGGCCTGCAGCGCCTCTTCCTTGGTTTTGGGCTGCTGTGGGCTCGGGGGCGGCACGGCTTTCTCGGCCGGGCTCGCCATCAACCGAGGGTGTGGCTCAGCAGAGAGCTGCACGAGCAATGGAGGGCGATTATGCAGCGCAATTGCGGACAGGGCCGTCTTTTGCCTCCCTCCTGCTACGCGCGCTGCCGCTGCCGCATAGGTGACCGCCCGCATCTCATCAGCGGCGAACCTCTCCCGCCACACCCACTGGTTGAGCCTGCTGGCAAACGTGAACTTCAGCGTGGGTCACACACAGCAGCTGGCCTTTGAAGCACATGCTTGTGGAGGCCGCACCGCAGGCGGTGGTGCCGTCGAATGCCCGCCGGCGGCACTTGCTCATTCCCATGGCCAGCAAGCAAACCTTGATGATGGTGGTGCATCTGCCAGGTTTCATGACCGTTCAGCCGCATGTCCTGTTGCATCTGCTCCGTCTGTTTCCTGCGGCGGCGTCTCGCTGCCGCCGCCGCCCCTTTCTACTCCGCCCAATCCGCGCTGTGGCGGTCCGTTTGTGCAATTGTCCCCCCCAGCAGTCAGCCACTGGTGTCCCAATGCAGTGCGCGCACCCTACAACGCCAACTTGTCGAGGGCTCTGCCTCCGGCCGCGGCAGAGCAGGGCGTCCCCTCCACGCCGCGCAGCTTTAGCAGCGTGCTGTCGATCGGCAGGGGTGTCATCCAGCGGCAGCAGCGAGGTCGCAGAGAGCTCCACCAAAACCGGCTCCATCCACGAAACGCTGGCTAATTTGGATTTAATCCTCGGCGTGGAGGAAACAGGAGCCCCCGAGCCTGCCGCTGCAGCAGCCCCGGCACAGCCTGCGACGCCGCCCGTCCCACCCGAGGTGCGCCGCAGCGCTGCCGCCACTGCAGGATAGAGCTGTCCTTTTGCTTTCTCTCCCTGAGCCTCACCTAGCTCCCGCCCGCGCCTGTTGTCCCTCTGCAGTGGGAGGCCCTGCCCGCCGAGGAGCTGCGGCGGCGGCAGCTGCTGGTCCAGCGGCGCACCATGCTGGGGCTGCGCCAGGCGGCGCTGCAGAAGGATTGCGACCAGCAGGAGAAGAAGCTCGCTGCGGCGCAGCAGCGCCTTGCCTCGCTGCAGCTGCAGGCGCGGCAGCTGGCCATGCAACAGCAGCAGCTCCAGGACCAGATCGATCCCGAGGCGGCCGCCGCGGTGCGGCAGGCGGCGCTGGAGATGGCAGAGCGTGCAGAGCGGGAGGGGCGCCGAGATGTTTTCATCCTGCTGGGGTGCCTCATCGGGCTGTACGGCCTGGCAGCCACCTCGATGGCACACCAGGTGGCGGACAGGAAGCGGCGCGTGCGGGAGGCCTGCTTCTTGCAAGAGCCCTGATCTTGAGCGCTGATTGGAATCAGCGCTCGCCTGCCTGCCGCGGCCCTCGTGCGCCGCTACTGCGCTCGCAGAGGCGTTGGTTCGTGCGCATCGAGCGACCGTGTCTTGAACCCTGCCGGCACATTGACCCGTCTTGGGCATCCGTGATGTGCCCCCATCCTCATTGCTAAACCCTCCTCCCTTCTCAAACCTCTTCCCGTCTCCGTAGTGCCGCCATGCGGTGCAGTCCTGTTGTCAGTTTCCTGCCGTCTCAATCAGTGCTGATTAGCTCTGCCCTTGCTCCGCTTTCTGTTTGCAGTCTGCTTTGCTGTCTCTCATCTGATCCGGTTTTCCGGATTTTTGTCGCCCGTGTACTGCTCTGTACCAGGAGTCAGGCTCCAGTTGACCACAACCCTCTGCAGCAGCACGCCTCCGCTGCTGTTGCCCCTGTAATTCATAATACTATCAGGCCACCTGAGGAGCGGAACGGCATGAGGGCGGAGATCGCCCTGTTCAGCATTGCCACATCAGCGGCGCCGGCGGCCGGGTCCAGAAACCTGCCGACAGCTACCGATCCCAGACTTCTGCCAACAAAAGATGCTTTTGCATGATGACGTGCAGCTTGGCTCCCTCTGGCTGAATTGGACGTTTCGACGCACTGCCAACACGCCGCGCAGGCACGTCGTGGCGCAGGGAGGGGCAGTTGCCTGAGGCGGTTTCACCAGAACACTACTTGCACTGTTCCCCTTGCACAGGCTGAAATCAAAACTAGCAGAGATAGACAAATGCAGAAGACTCTCCTTGCACTCGCATTGCTGGCGGTGCTGTCGGTTGGCGGCAGGGTGGCCGCCGCCGAGGAGGTACGAGTGCCTCCCGCCCATCTACCAACCCGCCTGCCTGCCCGCCCGCTGGGCATCCTCAGCTGCCATGCGCTCCCCTGAGCTTATGCAGCTGGCGGAGGACGTCCCCGCCTCTCCAATGGCCATCCGCCAGCTGCTTGGCACGCTGACGGTCAGGAGCCGGGCAGGCACTGCACTAGACAGCGTGCGCTTGCCATCCGCTTTGCGCGCTCCCGCCCACCCGGCTTTGGTGTTTTCCTGCCCAACTCCGCCGCGCAGGTGGAAGCCAAGCAAGGCGATGTGTGGTCCTTCACATCTGTTCGTCGATCCCAGGCGTCCTCGACGACCGACGAGGCTGGGGCCAAGACAAACAGCGTGGCAACCGCATCGGGCCGCGCCTTTGCCTCCAACGGCATCAAGTGCTTCTCCCAAGACTGCACCGCCCCCGTCACTGATGTGAGCCTGGGCAGCGGGCCAGCCAGCCTCGGCATGCGCATGATGATGCATGTCTCTGGCGCAATGCCCTCCCTTTACCCCTCCACTTTACCCCTCCACTTTACCCCTCCACGTGCCACATGCGCGCCGCAGGTTGGCACCGACATCGACGGCACAGCCGCCAGCGCCGAGGCCACTGCCTCGGGGTCCAAGCTTTCTGCCACGACGGTGCGTGGGCCTGGGCGGCCGCCAGCCTCACTGGCAGGCTCCTGTGTGTTCGCTCACCGCCTCCCACTGACACTGCCGCCGCCTGCCTGCTCTCCCCCACCACCTGGGCGCTACACCCAGACCCGCACCTCCTCCACCGCCGTCGCCTACAACCGAGCTGGCAACCTGCTGGCCGCGGCCACGGGCCGCGCCGGCGGCGTCAACCTGCAAGCGCGGGGCAACCCGTCCCGCACCGTGGCCGACATCCAGGTGCGGGGCTGGGGCGGGGGCCCGCCTGTGCCACACACCTAGCATCCAACCGCCAACCACCACTCGCCCACCCCACATCAACCTGCCTGCGCCTGCACCCCTGCCCCACTCTGCGCCGCAGGTGAATGCTGTCGCAGACCAGACCACCGGCCAGTGGACCGGGGCGGGCAACGCCCAGGTGACGCCCACCGAGTCTGGGCTGAGGCGGGTGTACGTCAACGCCCAGGGGCGCGTGGTCACCGGCCTGCTGCCCAGCTGGTATCCCCGCCACCCCGGCAGCCCTTAGTGATGACTGGTACCATGCCTGCTGTATCGCTGTTGATCTTTTATCTTGCATAGCGCTTCACACACATCAGTGTTAATTCTTGCACGTGACCAGCGATCGAATACAATCAGTAAGCATCCAATCAAATGCTGATGATGTAAATTCCAAACAAGCCGCCTGGTGAGAAAAAATGGGCAGGGAGGCGAGGGGGCGCACCCTACTTCTTGCTGCTGCTGTAGCTGTCTGCCGAAATGCGCTCCACAGACGCCTCTCCTTGCTGCTGCTGCCGTCGGCGGCGGCGAGCGCGGCACCAGAGCAGCCCACCGATCACGGCCGCGACCAGCGCTGCGCCGCCGCCCGTCGCGGCGCCCAGCATCGCCATCGGCACGCCGCCTCCCTTGCCGCCGCCGTCGCCGCTGCCGCCGCTGCTGCCGGCTCGGGTGCTGCTGCCGGTGTCCTGCTGGGCGGGCGGCACGACTAGCACCGCCTTTGCGTCGCCAGCAGCCAAGGGCATGGTGAGGCTGGCCTGCGAGTAGGTCAGCTGGGAGGCCTCATAATACTTGTGCCGCATGCTCAGCTGCTGGCCGCCCAGCGGGGTGATGTCGGCGCGGGCGTGGCGGCCATCTGGCGCCAGCAGTACCACGCTGTACCGTGGCTGGCAGGCGCCGCCGCTGCCGGAGCAGCTGAGAGGCGGGGCGGCACTGCTGGCGGCCAGCGGGAGCAGCGGCGGCAGGGTCACCGCGCCCGTCGCCCAGGAGTCGTTGCCCGCTGAGCTGGCGGCTGCGGCTGCCAGCTCAGCGCCGCTCTGCACCAGCACCGTGCGGTTCATGCCGTCTTTCCAAATCACGCTGCTCAGCTGCTGGCCAGGCGGCAGCCGCAGGCGCAGCGTCGGGCCGGCCGCCACGCTGGCGCCGCCAGACGCGCCGCCGTCGGCTGCCAGCTGGCCGGCCGAGCTGCTCAGGGGCTGCAGGTGCAGCCGGCGGCGGCTGCTGGAGGCGGCGCCGGTGGAGGGCTGGGGCGCCGGCGCCACCTCAACCGCAAACTCCAGCCTGCCCTGCGGCGCCGGGGCCGCAGTCGTGAGCACCAGCTGCCCGCACTCCAGGCCTCCAAACCCGCTGTAGTCTGCCCTTCCCATTGCCTCCTGTCCCGGCCACTCGCCGCGGTATCCGTAAAAGGCGGGCGCGGTGTGGTTCCACAGCGGCAGGCCGGGGGCGCCGGAGCAGCCCCCCACCGACTCGAACGACAGCAGCAGCCCGGTGGCGGCATCCCACCAGGCCGTGCCCTCCTTGAGAAGCGCAAAGGCGCTCTGCCTGCGGGGCGGCGGGGTGGGGCGGGGCAGCGGTCAGCGCAGCAGGCTCGTGCCTGGGTCGCGTCGGTGGGTGTGCTGGCAGGAGCCTCAGGGCCCTCCATGACTTTAAAAACCACATGCCCCCGGCACTCGCCTGGGGAAGCCGCCCTCTGGGCCGGGCAGCGCATCCGGCCAGTCGCCAATGATCACATTAAAGTCCAGCATTCCGCGGTGGTCCGCCCACTGGCCTGCACCCCGAGGCACGCCCAGGCAGGCAGGCAGCCAGGTTGGTGAGCAGGGCGGGCCCGGGAGCGATATCCCAGCGCTGACCCAGGCAGCAGCGGCAGCATCCTTTGCAATCTGTTCACTTGTGCACAGGCCGCCAGCTGCTCTGCCCTCCCGCTGCGCTGCACAGGCTCACCTGTGGCCGGGTCTCTCCGTACCACCTCCACAGACAGCCCCCGCACGTTGTGGCGGCTGCCCTGGGGAGTCAGCTGGCCGCCAGAGGTGCTCACATCCTGCAGAGATGCGGCAGAAGTGCAGCTGAGATGCGGCGCAGGCTGGTGGCGGGCAGGCGGGCAGGCGAAGCTGGGCGAGGCATGAGCTGCGGCGTCATGCCTCAGCCGCCTACCTCCCAGTGCGGCGCGGAGCGGAAGCCCACCACCAGCACCTCGTCCTGGCCGCGCTGGATGCTGAGGGCCATGAGGTTTCCTCGCGACTCGGCCCTATCAAAGGGCCACAGCACGAGGCGGCGCCGGGATGGGACCGCCAGGTCAGCAGGCGTCAGCACAGCGCGCTCGCCGCCGCTCAGCCACCCCGCCATTGTTCGGTAGTAGAGGCCGTAGTCGCCCTTGCCAGCCGCCATGATGTCGGTCTGGTCGCTGCAAGTGGGTGCAGGCAGGGCAAGGCAGGGCGGCATGGTCATGGGGCACCGCCACCTCAGACAGCAGGCGCCGGCGAGGCTTGCGCAGGAGGGGGGACGAGGAGAGGGTGGGCCGATGGCGGCAGCGGCAGCACAGAGGCGCGCCTCGGGGCGCCCGCAGGGCGAGGGGCGGCAGGCGGGGAGCCCACCTGTATCCGCTGGTGGTGGTCTGGCCGGGGCCCAGCGGGTCGGCGGGCGCAGACGTGGCGCCCTGCAGGCGGTACATGTTGGCGTGGCGGAAGCCCAGCCGGTGCCCCGTCTCGTGCACGGCGTAATAGTAGCTGGGAAAGCACTGGGTGATGACCGCGCCCTGCAGTGGGCAGGCGTATCAGGGGTTTTCAGGGGGTGGCGGCTGTTGTTGTGGGGGTGGCCCATGGGCGGCGATGCGCCTCATCGGCTGTTGGCGGCATCGGCATGCGCAGTCCCGGCACCCGGCAGCTGCCGCTTTTACCCCTGCAGCCCTGCCGCCGCTCCAGGCACGGAAGGGGGGCAGGCGGTGGTTCGCCAGCGGGGCCAGTACCAGGTACATCCAGGGTGCCTCGCCCGCATCGGCCAGCGCCTGCGAGGAGAGGAGGGCAGCCAGGCAGCACAGGGCACGCAGCAGGCTCGGGGGGCCACCAGCGCTGGAAACAGCGCAGCCGCCAGCGCTGCAGATCATTGCCATGGACCCTGCTTGCTGCACGGCAGAGCTGCGGCTGCCCCGGCAGCCCACCTGCTTGGCAGGTGCCTCGTAGTAGGTGAAGTTGTCGGCAGCTGAGAAGGCGTCCCGTTCGATGTACGTCTCTGACAGGACCGCCACCTCCCCCAGCGACAGCTGGCCGTAGGAGGCGGCTATCAGCGCCTGGTTGTAGGCATCCAGCATGCCTGCACAAACTTGGAGGGAAGAAAGTGCGGCTTGCTTGAACCAGGCGGACAGACGGCCAGCTGCTTCCAAGGGGAGGTCAAACTGCCAATGTGCATGCCGAGCAGCCACAGGACCACAAGCAGGACCGCTCGTGCTTGCCTGTCTGCCGGATCAGCTGGAGCGTGCCGTCCCGAGTGCACACGGTGGAGCACACGCCGCCTCCGGCGCTTGGCAGCGTGTGTGGGGACTGGTCCTGCCAGCCGCTCCAGTGCTGCTGGCAGGCGATCTGCACCAGGGGCGGGGGCGCAGTCCTGCATTGTGTCCAATGTTTTGGTGCAGCCGTCCCTAAATTCCAGCCCAGAGCTGGGCAGCAGCCACCCACCTGGTCCGTGCTGGTGACCCAGTCGAAGCCGGCAGGCACAAACGCCAGCCGCTTGCTGCGGCCCCTGCTGGCCGCCGCCAGGGCGGAGGTGGTGCCAAAGAGCACGGGGGAGCCTGCAGGCGCAGCGGGCAGCCGGGAGGGGTAATGCAGCGCACGGAGGGGATACTCCACCCTGATGAGCTAACCAAACCCATGGATGAGCCAAGGAGCAGCGGTGCACCAACCTGCGCCCGCCAGCCGGGTGTCTTGGCAGGTGGTCAGGGAGAGGGGGCTGGGGCGCACCGGCGGCGCCAGCACGCCATAATCAAACAGCCGCTCAGCCTCGAGATCCGCGCTCTGCACCAGGCAGGCGGGCGGGGCGCAGAGGGCGCAGGCGCTCTCATGCATGCATGAGCAGCAGCAGCGCATGCCGGCTGTCAGGCTGCTCTTGCTGATGCTGCACCGGGGCAGCGAACCGCACTGTCGGCGGCGGCGGCGGCAGCAGCAGCAGCGGGGCCTACCTGCCAGTAGTCGTCAGACCAGCCCAGCGCTGCCGCCTGCTGGGCGGCGGTACCATCGCGGTACACTGTGTCGGAGATGGGGCGCCCCAGCTGCTGGGCCACGGGCACCGCGCTGTGGCGGCAGCACGGGGCAGCGCCCTTGCTGTCCCCCTGCTTTCTGACCAGCAGGGCGTGGTCGTGGGTGGCAGTGTGGCCCTGCATGCTGGTCACCTGCAGGCGCAAGGTGAGGTCAGGGCGACTGCTTGCATGGCCACAGCCATCCAGCAGCCGTCCAGCCATCCAGTAGAGGCAGCCTCTTACTTCGATCCTCACGATGTAGCGCCCAGGCTTGGCAAAGGTGGCGCTGGCGGCCAGGGCGGCGGGCTGGCCCGGCGGCGCAGCGCCAGCCGCCTCCACCACCCTGTCGCCGCACTCGGCCGCGGTGCAGCCCTCGGGCGCCAGGCCGAAGAAGGTGAGGCGGATGCGGTGGGCGTGGCCAAGTGCCCCGCCGCTGGGAGTGGCGGTGACAGCCAGGCTCACTGGCTCGCCCACCACAGCGTCACCGGCCGGCTGATGCTGCACTGCGACCGTGGGCGGCGCCGCTTGCTGGGCCGCAGCAGCCGCCAGCTCTTGCCGCAGCTCCTGCAGGGGCTGCCCCGTCAGGGTGCGGTTGCAGGGGAGGATTCCATCGGACACGAACACCGCCGCCAGGTCGGCTCGTGCCGAGAGCGCCGTGTCCAGCCTGGCGCCAATGACCACAGCGGGGCCCAGCAGGCCGCCGCCGCTGGCGCTGCCGTCGCCGGCTCCAGCCAGCTGCTGCAGCAGGGCGGCGCTGCTGCCGCTCCGCGGCGTCAGCTGGCGGCCGTTGGCACAGGCGGCAAAGCCGCCGCTCGGCGGGTCTTGGGTCAGCAGCAGGGCCAGGCTGGAGCCGTCGGTGGCGCTCGCTGCCGGCAGCTGGTAGCTGACGCTGCCAGCCGTGCCGGGGCTGGTCAGGAGCAGGCGCTGGGTGGGGCAGTCGAGGAACACATCCACCTCAGCGCTGGCGCCGCCTCCAAAGCCCAGCAGGGCGCCCTGCTGCCGCGCGGAGCAGTCCAAGGCGGACAGCAGGAGCAGCAGGGAGAGGCGGTGGGCGTCGGTGGGCAGGGAGAAGGCGGGGAAGGCGGCCCGCAGCACCTCGGCCTCCCCGCACTCCTGCAAACAGGCCGCGGATGAGTGAGTCTGAGCGAGGCTGGGCTCAGTATGGTGACTGCATAGGGGGTGATCCCAGGCTGACAAGGCCCATGCATGCCCAGCATGCCCGGCGCCCTCCCCTCACCTCTCCGCTGTCGTCAAACTGGTTGGGGACCAGGCGGAGCGGCTGGCCGGCTGGGAGCAGCGCCGCCACGCGGGCGCTGGCGCTGCTGTGCGCCGCGGCCTCAATCAAAGTGGCATCCAGCAGTGCCGGCAGTGGAGCAGCGAGCAGAGCGGTGGGTGACGATGGCGGCGGAGGGGGGCTGGCAGGGACGGAGGGCGCAGGTGAGGGCGGCGGAGCGGTGGCAGGGCCGGGCGGCAGGGCCGGCTCCGGCTGAGGGCTGGGAGGCTGGGCCTCCAGCGTGTCTGGCGCCCACGAAAGGTTGTCCTGCTGTGCCGGGGCCCCTGCCACTTCCGCTGGCAGCTCAGCTGGTGGGAGGCTGGGAGGCGCTGCCAAGGCGGCGGCGCCTGGAGAGTCGGACAGCGCCCCGCAGAGCCTCACAGCAATCGTCAGCCAGACGAGGAGCCGCATGCCGGCGGCCTGCTTGTGAGGGGGGAGAGGGGGCGGCGCCCTGTGCATGGGCGACGGCGGGATGGCGGAGTTGAAGGCGCCCCGCGCAGGAGGCGAAGCTGCTGGTGGGATTGCAATCAATCGAGCAAATTGAACTGAGGAAATGCCCTGCGGAAGGAAAACTTTTTGCAAGTTTGTGCCACGTGGATGATGTGCATGTTTCGAGGCACGCACAAGTATGAACGAGGCACCTCGAAAAACAGCGCGGAACAATGCGGAAATCTCTTCCGCGTTTTGACGCCTCCCAAGGAGCATCAGGCCCTGACGACGCCGGCTGTGGTGCCCGCGGCGGCGCCCTCCAGCAGCAGCTGCCAGCCCTCGCCAAAGGCGCGCCCGAAGCGTTGCGGCATGTCCAGCTTCTGCTCCAGCTTGCCGTCGTAGTGGGAGAACATGGACCAGACCTGCGAGCACGGTAGGCAGGCAGCGGGCAGCGCACGCTGTCTAGCGGCAACAGGGGTCTGGCGGACAGGCAGGCAGGCAGGCGGGGTGGGCAGTCGACCCGTCCACAGCCATCGACCAGCCACCAGCCGGCACGCACGCAGCGCGGCGGCCAGCGCACCTGGCGGCACTGCCTGTGTGCCAGGTGGCGGTCGAAGAACTTCATCCTCTCCTGCGTCTTGGGGTGCACCTTGTGCTCGCAATGCGCATCCAGCAGGTGCACCGGCACCGGCTGCAGGCAGGCGGGGGCCGCGGGCACGCAGGCAGGGCAGGGGCCGAGGGGTGGGAGGCGGACGGGGGATGCGTCGGCGCGAGCTGCCCGCCAGCGCTGCACACCGGGCCGTCCCGTCGCTGCCGCCACCTCGCACGCCCCTCCACCCGGGAGCACACCTGCCTCGACCCCACTCCCTGGCACCACCCTCCCTACGCACCCCTACCTGAAACAGGCGCAGCGGCTGCACCCGCACATGATAGTCGAATCCCTTGGCGGGGAAGCCAGGATCCAGCCCCACGCCCCACTCCACAACCTGCAGCCAGCCAGGCCAGGCGGCAGGGCGTGTTGCAGGTCTGGACGGTAGTGGGGAAAGGGCGTTGAGTGGGGTGCGGAGTGTGTGTACGTGGGGGGAAGGACCTGCCTCCACCATGCAGCACAGCACGGCAGCCTCCTCGCCACACCCGCCCGCCCACACAGCCCATGTCAGCGCAAGCCGCCACCCGGCGCCGCCCCGGCCTCACCCTGAAGCAGCCGTACAGCACTTTTTCGTCCAGGCTGTGCATCAGCGCCATCATCCCCTCCTGAAGCCCCTCCAGGTCCAGCTTGCTGCACGCAGTACCGCAGCATGGTGACGCAGCGGGACGGCGACACCACGACGCTCCGCATCAGCATGAAGCGGCATGAACTAAACAGGCAGCAAGCCTTTGCCGCGGCAGCGACTGAAGGGCTCGCTGCCTGGGCAGGCCACACGGAAAGGAGGCAGCAGCTTGGGGCCCCTTTCCACGACAGGCCCGCGGCAGCTCCGCAGCACGGGCACCCACTTGTTGCTGACAAACACGCATCGCTCCATGCAGGTGCTGAGCGTCTCGCGCTTGGAGATGAAGATGCGGCCGTGGCGGATGGACTCGGGCAGCTGCCCGGCAGCTGCCGCGCCGCCGCCTGCCGCGGGCAGCAGCGTGGCGCCGGGCCAGCCGCCCGCCGCTGCCAGCCGCTGCTGCAGGGCGCGCCTGTGGGCCTTAGCCGCCGCTGCCGCAGCGGGGTCGCGGCCAGGAGTGGGCAGCGCGCCGGGAGCGGCAGGGGCCCACCGCAGCTCTTGGGCCTCAGGTCTGCTGTGGCTGCAGACGGGAGGTGCGGCATATGTATGAGAAACGAGAGACGGTAGCAAGCAAGCAACATCGGAGGAATGAAGGCATGTGGGGCATGGCTGTAACCCATTTCATCAAGTAAGTCGCAGAGCAAGTGTTGGCAGCCGCAGCAGCATCAGCACACACACCTTGCCAGCACCGAATGGCAGTCGCGCAGCAGGATGTGGTGGGTGGGCTCGCGTGGTGGCGCCGGCGGCCGCCGCTCGGCGGCATGCTGCTGCTGCAAGGGGGGCACTGCCGCCGAGTCCGGCCGGCGCTGCTTCTCAGGGGGCACACGCTCGGCGGTGGCAGCAGGCGGCGCAGGCTCTGCTGCCGACCACGGCCGCTTATTGCCAACGCTGCTTCCTGGCCGATCGTCTGCTGCTGCTGAGGCGACGAGGGCGGCGGGCGCCGCTGCGGGGACCGTCTTTGGGATGCGGAACGGGGTGGCTGCTGCCGCAGGCTTGGCCGCTTTGCCTGCTGCAAGGGCCGCAGCCTTCGGCGGCTGCTCCACAGCGATGGCACGCTTGGGGATGATGAAGGGCACCTTGGCGGTGGCAGGAGGGGCAGGGGCGCCGCTGGCGGCTCCTGCTGCCGCCGCCGCCACCTGCTTGGCGGGCTGCTCCCCACGGTTCCGCTGGGAGGCTGCTTTCCGCTTGCGCTGCAGCAGCGGCTGCTGCTCCTCCTCCTCTGATGACGTCCCTGCCGCCGCCTCGGCCTCCCTGCGCCGCTTCTTCTCTCCCTTCTGGGTCACATGCTTGGGACTGATGCCCTGCTGCCGGTGCTGCTGCTGCTTTTGAGGGCTGGTCGGGTAAGCTGTCCGAGCTGCTGCTTTCTGCTGCTTGTGTGGGCTGGTCGGCTCAGCCATGGGAGCTGCGGCTTTTTGCTGCTTCTGCGGGCGGGGCGGGCTCTGCTTCTTGGCCTCAGGCTTCTGCTGCTGCTGCTGCTGTTGCTGTGAGGGGGCTGCTGTGAGGGGCTGCTGTGAGGGAGCTTCCAGATCAGGAGCTGCTGCATCCTTCTTCAGGAACTGCTGTGCCGCAGGCTGCACCGCGGGCGCAGCTCCCGACTGAGCATGATGCGGGGGCGGGGCAGCAGCCTCAGGCTTGGAGGCGGCAGCAACAGCTGGCGCCTGCTTCCCAGGCGCATCTTCCTGTCGCTGCTTCTCCTGCTGTGGAGGCGGGGGCGGAGCAGGGACAGCCTCCTCCTGCTGCTGCTGCTGCTGTGCTGCTGGCCCGTTATCTTCTGGCTTCCGCTGCGCCTCAGCCTGCTGCTCCTGCTGCTGCTCCTGCGCTACCTTGAGCTCCTGCCGTGGCTGCTCCGTCTCCTGCTGCAAAGGGGCTTGGCTTGGCGGCTGGTGAGCAGCTGGCTGCGCTGGTGATGCCGGTTTCGGGAGCATCGCCTGCTGCTCCTGCTGCTCAGGCTCGCCCTCCTCCTGGCTCCCCTGCAGCGACTGCTGCTGCGGTGGTATGACCGGCCGCACCTTTGCCTCCTGCTCCTGGCTGCCTTGCCGTGACTGCTGCTGCGGTGGCGGTGGTATGAGTGGCTGCAGCTTTGCCTCCTGCTCCTGGCTCCCCTGCCGAGACTGCTCCTGCGGTAGAGGTGGACGCTGCATGTTTGCCTCCTGCTCCTGGCTGCCTTGCCGTGACTGCTGCTGCTGCTGCTGCGAGGGCGACTTGCCAGCTTTTGCGCTGCGCTCCTCGCTGCCATGCCGCTGGTCTCGGGGCGATGGCATCTCCCTGTCGCCTATCACCGCCTGCTGCCACCAGCGTGTCTTGCTGAAATCGCCAGAGCCTGGCTTGACCGGCCTGCCGCCGCTGCTGCCACCCCTGCTGCCAGAAGAGGTGGCGGCGCGAGCAGCAGCCGCCGCCTGCTGCTTCATCTGCTTTGCCGCTGGCGCCCCGCCTGCCGCTGGAGCAGCGGCAGCCTGCTGGGGCGGTGCTGCGGCTCCTGGCGCCTGCCCTCCTCCCGCTGCTGCCCCTCCCTTTGCCAGCTCCTCTCTCTCTGCGCCAGCCTTGGCCTGCCCGGCCGCTGCAGCTGTGGCTGGCGGCGAGGCCGCTGGTGCGGCAGCAGGGGCTGCTGCCACCGCCTCCCCTTCTGGCGCCGCTAACGCCGCCAGGTCCAGGCCCCGGCAGGGAGTTGGGATGTACACACCCTGCTCACTATTGTGGATGTACAAGCAGTACTGGTGACCGCCACAATCTGCGGCACACCAGGGAGCGGGATGGGCACCTGGGGCTCAGACGCCGGGCAGCACTGCTGCTGGCATGATGTGCTGCCTCCGCATGGCGATGACGGCGGCTGCAAGCATGCCACCCTTTCGTGCTCCAAACACACAAGCAGGAAGGATGGCGGGCCTCCTGGCCTGCCGCCCACCCACCGTGGTGTCGTCTTTCCCGGACACACCAAACTCTGTGGGCTCCAGCCACTCCCCTCACGCCAGGCACAGGGACGCGGCAGGTGGGCACAGCGGCCAGGCGGGGTGGGCCAGCTGGTGGGCGGTCGGGCCTGGGCAACGAGGCCTCGCATACAGGCATCAGAGGCAGGCTGGCTGCTGCATGTGTGCAAGCATGCTGGATGGCTGCACGCAGCTGCCCGCCCTGCCCGCCACAGCCAAGCACAGCCGCCGCCGCACTTGATCCAGCTTCGTAGCTGACTTGCAACAGGAGCAGCGGGCCGTCATCAAGCGCCGCTGCAGCAGCGGGGCAGCAGCGGGGCAGCGGCTGTCGGTGTGAAGGGCTCCCCCGCAACTCGCAGCACACGGCCCAGCCAGCCAGAGCCCCCGGCGCAGCCTGCCCGCGGCACTTGCGGGCGCCCACCCGGCCCGCCTGCCGGCCCACCCCACCCACCGATGATGGTCCCATCACAGAACTGCCCCTTTTCATGCCACCACACGCTGGCTGTCTTGTTGAGCAGCCCCTTGGCCAGCTGAGCGCACGAGGCTTCCTCCCAGGGCGGGTACAGGCTGTTGTTGCCGGGCGCCGGCGGGGACGGCGGCGGCGCCGCGCTGGCCTTGCTGCCCACGCCGCCACTGCCGCGCCGCGGCATCTTGGGCGGCTTGCCGCTGCTGGCGGGGCTGGCGGCCTTCTGGCCGCGCATGGGCTGCCGAGCCCCTGCGCCTGCGCCTGCGCCTGCCGCTGCCGCTGCGGCTGCTCTGCCCGCCTGGCCTGCTGCTGCCTTGCCCTTCTTTGCCATCCACACGGAATTGCCGCCCTGGTGCTCCCGCTGGAAGTGCTTCCCAGCATCCACGCTAAACTCGGTAGAAACCTGCACACCGGCCACATGCCGGCGCCAATCGCCAGCGCCCAGTGCAGCGTTGCTGGCATCCAAGCAGCGCAGGACAGGGCAAGGCGGCGGGCTTGGGCGGGCCAGGTGTGCGGCGGCGGCGACTGGGCGCATCCCGGCCTGCTGTCAAGCTCGGGGCGTGACGCGCAGCGTGGCGTGGCGATTGACCGCGGTGCAGCCTTGCATCCCAGCTGCTGGCTGCACCCACCTGGCCGGGCGGGTTCCTGTTGGTCTTGAGGGAGGGGAACAGCTCCAGCAGCGGGCTGCCCTGGGCGAGCAGCTGGTTGATCGTCGCGCCGTGCGGGAAGTGGTGCGTCAGCACGTGCCACAGGCACCACTTGAGCGTCTTCTTCTTGCGGCCGCTGTCAAACGGGTTTGGAAGCGCGGCGGCCTCGCCGCCGCCGCTCGCCTCCTCCGACGCCATCCCTGCTGCGGGCAAGCGGCGCGGCGGCGGCAATGGAGCGGCGAGACTGTGGCTGGGGCAGTCGCGACGCAGCCACCTCCTGCCAAAAATCACACACCTGCGGCCCCTCTGATCTGCTACTGTCCCGCACAAACCAAAACAGCAGCGCAGAAGAGAGAGAGAGGGAGCGTCACCCCAGCAGTGGGCCAGGCGGGGGGCGACGGACCCTGTTCAGATGGTAACTGAAGGATGGGCCGGAAAGGGCTTGAAGCTCGAATCGATTTGCGAGCTGAGGTGGCGAGCAGGACGCCAATGAACAAGGTGGGTTCTGCTCGTGAAACAGAAACAGCTCAAGCGGAGCAGCCCATCGCTCAAAACAGGCTTGCCTCCGATCGCTGCTCGGCGCAAAGGTCGTCTGGCCTCGCCTCTTCTTCACCCTCAGTCGCCCTCCTTCCGAGCAGTCTTGAGGACAGGCTGGGCGGCAGGATCAGGTGACGCTCGTGCGTTGCAGTCGCTGTGCGGCAGCAAGCTGTAAGTTGCAATTTAGGGACGGCGGCGCGAGCGACAGCGCTGCACGCCGCCCGGACTTGAGCCGCCTGGATTGAACCCCTATATGCAGCCCCGCAATGGCAGCAGCAGGGCAGCGACAGGGAGCGCCCATTGATGCGGGTGTGTGCCTGTCCATGCACCAGCCCTGGGCCTCTCTGCTGGTCTATGGCATCAAACGCATCGAGGGCCGTGGCTGGCCCACCGAGCACCGCGGCCGCCTGTGGATTGCCGCCACTGCCAAGCAGCCCACTCCCCAGGAGATCCAGGTGCGAGGCCATAGCCTAGGCGATGCTGGAAGGGTCACCCTCAGCGGGATGGCAGGAAGGACCCACGCTCCCAGTTGCTGCAACACCCCCGTGCGCGTGTGTGCCCGCCCGCCTTCCCCGGGTCGCTGCCCCCGACCTTGCACAGTGCAGGAGATGGAAGAGTTCTATCGTGCCGTGCATGGCAGTGGGGGCCAGCAAGCCGTCGAGTTGCCGCCCGCCTACCCGACTGGCGTGCTGCTGGGATGCGTGGACGTCGTGGGTTGCCTATCAGTAAGCCGCCGCGGCGGGAGTGGAGACGGCTCCCGGGCGGCAGAGTGCCGTGTGCCGTTGCGCTGCACAGCGCTGCGCCCAGCCGCGCTGCCTGAGCTTTGCCTCCTGCTGCAGGCGGAGCAGGTGGAGGCGTGGGAGGGGCTGCCGGGGGGCCTGATAGCTGAGGTGGGCAGCCCATACTGCTTTCTGTGCCAGGCGCCGCAGCGCCTGGTTGTGCCTCAACAGATGCGCGGCTTCCCCAAGATTTTCCAGCTAGAGAAGAAGGTAGGAGCATGCTGAGACCGTGTCTCCCTCTGCTGATTAAAAAACGTGTTAAAAAGGCTTGGTTGGGGCCGCTCTGTGTGTTTCTTCCATGTACTGGCATCAGCTGGGTCCCACCTCGCAGAGTGTGCTCACGCTCTGAAGCACCCTCTTGCTCCTACGCTGCCTGGTGCCGCCAACAGATCCACAAGACTGCGCAGCTTGGCCTGAAGCCTGCCCCCAACGGCCGGGATTTTGGTTGGGCGGCGTTTGGCGCGGCGCCGGTGGCGGATGCCCCTCTGCCTCCCTCGCAGGCGAGCGCCCGGCTGCCGCGCTGCGCAGGCGCCAGCCAGCCGGGGAAGCATGCAGTGCACCTCCTCGGCGTGCTGGGCCGCCATCCCAAGCAGGTCCAGCGCTGCTTCAGGCAGGCTGTCCTGACCTGTGCCTGGCCGCAGAGCACGCACAAGTACCAAGAGCTGCAGAGGAAGATGGATGCCGCTCGGGGCGCACCCGGTGCTGCTGGCGACAGCCAGCGGCCATGCAGAGCAGCAGATGGAGGCGAGGAGGAGGGTGGTGGGCACGGCCCGGTCGCGAAGACGAGCGGTAGCCAGTCACCACGCGCAGCCGCTGCGGCGGCGGCGGCCGCCGCTGTAGCGGGCCTGCCGCGCGCCGTGGCCCTGCAGCAGCAGCAGCAGGATCCCCGGCGCCGCCTGCGGGCTGTGCAGAAGAAGCTGCGGCAGATTGCGGTGCTGGAGGAGCGGCAGCGAGAGCGCTGGGCAGCGCAGCTGCTGCCCGAGGAAGCGGCCAAGCTGGCGCAGCGGGAGCAGCTGGAGGCGGAGGCGGCGGCGCTGCAGGCCGAAGTAGGCTGACCTGCACCCCACACTTCCCCACACTTCGACCCCATGCATGCATCCTTGCCGATGGGTCCGTGACTACCACCCAATGCCAAACAGCGGGGTGGCTCTCAGTTCACACCAGGTGGAGGGGCAAGAATAGGGTTGGCACGTGCAGAGAAGAATCAATAACTGGTTGTGTTGATCGGGGATCAGGCCGTTATGGCGTGGGGTTGGGGAAGCGCCTGTGCACGGCATCCACCGCCTGCAGCAGCCCCTCATCCAAGGGCGGCTGCCGCGCCGCATCTAGCAGCTCCTGCAGCTGCCGCGAGCTGGTGGCGCCCACCACCGCGCTGGCCACAAGCGAGTGGGCCAGCACAAAGCGGAGCGCCAGGCTGGCGCCTGTCAGGCCCCAGTCCGCTGCGAGCCGGCAGTAGGCTGTCACTGCGCGGAAGGTGGCAAGCAGATGCAACAGGTGGTGATGCATGGCAAAGCAGCGGTGCAAAGCAGCGGCGCACCCTCTGTACCCCAGCCCGCCACCCCGCCGCTCACCCGCTACATGCACATTGGGTTTTGGCCCGTACCGCGACTCCGCCTCAGCGTACTGCCCCCGGTACTTGTTCAGCCTGGGAGAGGGAACAGGGAGGGGCACGGGTGTGCCTAGGTCGAGCAGCTGGATGCCTGCTGCACTTCTGCCTGCCACCTCACCCCGCCCTGCCACCCCATCCCACAACAGGCTTGCCAGGCCCGGCGCCTCACCTGGCGTCTGGCGGGCCGCCCCCTGCTGCCAGGTACTTGCCGGTGAGCAGCCCCATGGCCAGAGGGGAGTAGGCCAGCAGCGACACGCGCTCCGCGTGGCAGCACTCTGCCAGGCCCGCGTCAAACGTGCGGCACAGCAGGCTGTAGGCGTTCTGCAGCGACACAATGCCGCCGGGCAGCTCGGGGCGGCCCCGAGCTGCACAGCAGGCAGGCAGGCAGGCAGGTGCCGGGGGTTGGCGACAGGGCGGCAGGATGGGTGGGGCAGGCCGACGAGAACGTCGGACAGCGCAGCGCTGCGCAGCTGGAGGCCGTGGGCAGCCGGCACTGGGTGCTGCACATGCTTCTGGGCATGAGCAGCCACTGCCTGCCAACCTCCTGACCGCTCACCCAGCTGGCAGAAGCGCATGAGGCCGTAGGGCGTCTCGTTGCTCAGCCCCACGTGCCGCACCTGCACACGCCGCACATGGCTGCCCGGTGCGTCTGATGGAGAGTGGCTAGCTTGAGCGGCGGCTCGCCGGCCAGGCCCAAGCCTTGCCGCCCGCACGCCTGCCCGGCAGCCAGCCGCCCACCTTGCCCGCCTCCACCGCCGCCGCCAGCGCCCCCAGCTGCTCCTCGAAGCTGGCTGCGGCATAGGCCATGGCTGGGTCGTAGTCAAGGTCTCCAAACATCGGCACATACCTGCAGCAGGTGGGGGGGTGGGGGAACGGGGTGACGAGGCAGGCTGCCGCAGGTGGCGCGGCGGCAGGTCAGCAGAAAGCCAGGCCAGCTGCGGCACACCACAGCGCAGCCCAGCGCAGCGCAGCCCCTGCCTGTCTGGCCAGTGCAGCTGCAGCAGGTCCACATAGTCGGTGCCTAGCCGCCGCAGGCTGGCATCCAGCGCGGCGGTGATGTTGGCGCCATCCAGGCGCGCCGGCCCGCCGCGCAGCCACCCCATGCCGCCCGGCCCCGACACCTTGGTGGCAACCACCAGGTCGCAGCGCGGGCGCAGGCGCTGCCGCCGCAGCCACGCCCCCAGCACCTCCTCCGACCGGCCCTGCAGCGGGCGGCATCGGGGGCGTGGGAGCGCGCGGGCGAGCACGAGTGCGGCAGTCGGGCGCACCAGGCGAGGGCCCAGCAGGCAGCTGCCGGCAGCAGCGCAAGGCCGTCCAGGCGCAGGCATCCTTGTCGCGCCTGTGTGGCGGCAGCCTGCGGCACGGGGTACATCTCTGCTGTGTCAAAGCAGTTGACCCCCGCATCGGCAGCCAGGCCTAACAGGCGCTCCGCCTCCGCCGGCGGCGTGCTCTCGCCAAACAGCATCGTGCCTGCAGGGGCAGCGAGGTGAGCAGGGAGGGAGCACACTTGCGTTGATCGGGTGCAGCAGTGTATGTGTGTTGGGGGGAGACAATGGTGGGACGGGAGAGGGAGAAGTCGTCGCGTGGCGGCCGCGGCGCGGCAGCGGCGGCGGCCCGCACCCAGGCAGAGCGAGGAGACGCGCAGGTCGCTGCTGCCCAGCTGCCTGAGCTCCATGCTGGCTGCTACCACTCTCCGTCTCTTGCGTGGGGGCCGCGCTGGGGGCCTGGCTACGCCGAACGCCGCCCCGCATGTGTCTAAGGTGGTGCATTGCATATGGGGCGCCTCAATTCGACAACCGTACGTCATTTACATGTCTGTGCCGATGGTAGGGAGCTGTTCGCGCCTGGTTTTCTGCTATGCAGCCACGTGCCGACAGCCTGTATTGCTAGTCTCTAGCGAGTCGCCCTGCAGGCAGCACATCGCTCGGTGATGTTGCAGAGGCTCTGGCTTCTGACCGGCTATACCAGCCGAACCCTTCTTGCCAGCCCCACTGCGGCCGCTCAGCGGCATCGGATCGGTTCTGTGTGCCGGAGCAGGCATCTGTCGGTGCGATTCATGAGCAGCGAGGCGGAGAAGGCGCAGGCGGCAGCCAGGTGACCGACATGGGCATTTCGGCAGGCCCTCCTGCAGTGCCCAGCCTGCAACCAACACCCCAGCAGCGATGAGGATCTGCCCATGGGTCGCGGTAAATGGCGAGGAGGGCGTCATCCCCCCCACCACCACCCCACCCCACCCCCGCCATCACCGCCGCCTGCTTCTTGCAGCGCCGCCGACACGGGCGCACCCACCATTTTCGACAAAATCATCGCCAAGCAGATCCCCGCCCAGATAATCTACGAGGATGAGCAGGCGCTGGCCTTCCGCGACATCTCGCCGCAGGGGCCCGTCCACTTCCTGGTGTGCGCACTGGATGGCGGTGGCAGCCGACCGGATGGCCGGCGCTCGGCAGCCTGCCGTGATGTGCGCCCTGCCTCAGGCTGCCTGGCAGCCGAGCATGCCTGTGTGTATCTCACCCTGCCGCCGCAGGTGATCCCCAAGGTGCGCAACGGCCTGACCCAGCTGTCCAAGGCCAAGGAGGAGCACAAGCCGCTGCTGGGCCACCTGCTGTACGTGGCTGCCCAGGTGGGGAGCGCTGCCAGCAAGGCATGCCGACGGGGGAAGCAGGGGCAGTGCGGCAGTGCGGCAGCACAAGCGAGGCGGGAGGTGCAGGCCGGGAGCAGCAGGCTCGCATGCCTGGCGGCCCGCCCTCCCTGCCTGCTGGACCTGCGTGCCTGCCACCTGCACACCTGCCCTCGCACCCGACTCCCGTGCACCGCCCGTCTCCCCCCAGGTAGCGAAGCAGGAGGGGCTGTCCCAGGGTTACCGCGTGGCCATCAACGACGGCCCCAACGGCTGCCAGTCGGTCTACCACCTGCACCTGCACATCATCGGCGGCCGGCAGATGAGCTGGCCTCCGGGCTAGCCACGGCAGCCAGCAGCTTTTGGGCTAGCCGGCTGGGCAGGCTGGGCGCAGACACACTGCCATGATTTTGCTTTCAACCTTTCAATTCTAGCACTGTTACAACATGCAGCTGCTGTTTCTTGGACACCGAGGAGAGCCGGCAGTGGCATGGGTATTAAAACAATTGCGCTGGCGCGCGGCGTGCTGTGGGCACGCGGCTCGTGGCATGAGATTAGATGCGGGACGATAGATAGATCAGATCAATCAAACGCTGGGATGGGGTGTCATGCATTGGGGATCAGGGGAACACATCTGTACAGGGGCAGGTCCGGCTGGGGCATCATCTGAGGCACACAGCGCCGAGCACACACTTTGTGCGTTCTGCTTTTTCTGTGGGAAAGGAGAGAGGCCTGGCTCAGGTCCACCAGGGGGCCTGGCCATCACGGAAGTCGGTCTCAGTCCTGCACCCGAGCAGCAGGCATGTGGGTGCATGTCAGTCGGGCCTCCAGATCCGCCATCGTGCATGCAGCACACCTTGAGGCAGCACCACACAAGCCAGTGCAGCAGCCAACTTGCCAGGGCGACAGGGTGACGACGTCGTTGTCATTCACATCGGTGTGCGCCAGAACCAGGGACGTCGGGGCGGGGCCGCGGACCTTCTTGCCCTGGGCGTCGTACTGGCTGCCGTGGCAGGGACACATGAACTGCACAGTGGGAGGAGACTGGGGCCAGCGCTGCTCAGCCAGCGCTGTGCAGACAGGCATTGCTCACCAGCACCCCATCAGGCACTCAAGATCTTCCCATCAGGCCCCAGCGGCTCAACATTGCCCAGATGTGCGCTCCCCACCTTGTTCTGGGCGGCGTTCCAGGGTACCACGCATCCCAGGTGGGTGCAGATGGAGTTCACACCATACTTCTCGATGCCCTGCTCGGTGACTATCAGGTATGTGGGGTCGCCCTGCAGCATGTGCATTTGGGCCATGGATGGAGCTCTGATTCAACATCAGTTGGAGCCGGCTGCCTAGCGAGCAGAGGCTTGGTTCACCTCAAAGGGGACCCCCCACCCCCCAACCCACCTTGAGGCCCTGCACCAGCGATCGGTCGCCGACGGCGTGCGCCGCCACCCACGCTGCCGCCTTCACGTCGTAGCCCAGCACATCAAGGGCAGCCTGGGGCCCAGATGAGCGGCCGGAGCTGCATGGTTGGTGGCCGGGTGCCAGTTGGGTTATGCAGCAGTGGGTGTAAGATGCTGGCAGGCTGGCGACTCCCATGCTGATGTTAAAAGATGACAAAGAGAGATCGGCACCACACACCCGCGCTTTTGAGCACTCGCGTACCTGTTGGGGACGAAGCTGGATGCAAAGGGCCCCACAAGGCCCACAACCGGGAGGCTTACTGCCGCCAGCAGCATAATGTTGAGCGTGGCCCTCTTCTCCGGCGACGGCGGGTCCCAGGGGATGGCGCAGGCGTCGGCGGTGTCGCTGGCGGCCACGCGCAGGGCCCTGCGCGAGGGGCGAGCCCTGGGCATCCTGGCCACCACGGCCGGGGGCTGGCAACGGATAACAGCGGAGGAGAGCAGCATTACGACGCAGATGAGATGAAAGTAACGGAGAATAAGTGGCACAGGGCCCCAAACGGAATGTTAGCGATGCAGATCACGTCAGAAATGGTCAAGCATAGGGCGCGATTTGCATGCTGGGCTTGGCACGGTGCTGCCGTCGGCAGGCGCTTGCTGGCCTGATGTCGCTGACCATCATCCTGAAACGGTGCGAATCTGCTGAGCTTTCATAGGAGCCCCGCGCGGCTCCGGGGTGGCATGGTCCCCAGGGCACCGTGACATTCCGCTGTGAGCGGTGCCGGAACCGACCGTGTGATTGCCGTCGCACTTGTTACGCTCCTGTGATGAGTGGCAGTCATGTCTAACTCCTTTTGTGTGATGTGTGCATGCCGTCGCCACTGTGAAAGCTGGTTTTCGAGCGAAAGTGTGCCAAGTGCGCTTGCGCCCTCGAGGGCCCACTGGCGCCAGCCCAGCTGGCCGATGATGGCTGCCACAAGATGGGCGGGCCCGTTGCGCGCCTCATCGCCCTCAGGTCGAGCAGTTTGATCGTCAGAGACGTCTGGTCCCGTGTGTGGGTGGCATTCAAGTAGGCGCCGCCATTCTCTTGCAGCAGCTGCCAACGCCTCCCACAATGGGCCGGCTTGTGGAGGAGCAGAAGGAAAACGGGAGGTGAGGACACGAGTTGCAGGCGCTGAGAGCTGGGGGCAACTGTGCTCGCTGCATGCAACAAAGGGCAACAACGACAGGGGAGGGAGCAGCGCGTTTCCGCGCTGCATCAACATGCCAATTCAAATTGCTGAACGCCCTGGACGAATCGGCGCGTTCGGTCGCACTTGTTGCCGCCGTTCTCCGCCGCCGATGTCGCCAGGCGCAGCATGCTACGCGGGGCTGTTGTCCCTACGTGCCGCTTGTTGCTGCCGCAGGGCTGTCACTCACTTGCACCTGCTCGCCCACTCCCTCACCTGCAGGGATGTCGCCAATGGCCTGCACCTCATGGCGACTGCGAACGGTGTTGTCAAGAGCAGCCCGGCGCCGCAGCCCAAGATGCATTGTTCTTACGATTCCATACACCTTGCCATCAACAGCTCGCTGGCCAAGCTGCCGCCGGGAGGCTACGCAGAGCCAGACTACCTGCTGGCGATTAGCGGAGGTGCGCTTCGCCTGGCCGTCGGCGGCGCACAGTTTTGAGAAGACACCCGCTTATGAACGGCTGCAGCTGGCAGCTGGCTTACCCCCCCTTGCCTGGCTGGCCGGCTGTGCGTGCAGGCGGCCTCATCCCGGCCCGCATCCTGCGCAGCGTGCTGCGCAAGGCATCCAACAACGGCAGCTGCGCCGCCATCAAGGTGCCTGGGAGCCCCCCGCGTGCCGCTCTGCGCGCATGCTGCATGCCTGCCTGTGGCAAGCTGGGCAGGCAGAAATGCGGCTCCTCCTGCTCAGACCGCTCTCCCTCCCTGCCCGCCTGCCCACCCGCCCGCCTGTAGGTCATCGGCCTGGAGCTGTATAGCGACGAGCTGGAGGGGCGGCCGCACGAGGCGGGGGTGCGCCGCACGCAGTGGCTGTGCACCTCCAGCTCCCAGCTGGCCGGCAAGCGCATCCTGGTGGTGGACGAGGTGGGAGGGCCTTGCCAGAGGCGCGACAGCACGGCGGCGTGCTGCGCAGCCGGCTTGCCTGCTCCCTGCCTGCCTTCGGCGCCCTGCTGAGCGGCGCGTGTGCACCCCGCTCGCCTGCCTGGCAGGTGGACGACAGCCGCGAGACGCTGGACTATGCGGTGAGGGAGCTGCAGGCGGACATTGTGGCGCAGGAGGCGGCGCTGGCGGCCGAGGGGCGCCCCGTGCCGCCCACCCACCTCGGGGTGTACGTAATCCACAACAAGTGCCGGCCCAAGAAGGGGCGGCTGCCGGCGGGCGTGCCCCAGTTTGTGGCGCAGGTGGGCGGCGGCGGGGGGGCTTGCCACGGGCCCAGCTGGCCGGCACGGGGCTGGGGTGGGCTGCGGGCCAGCCGGCATCCAGGATAGTGTGCACCGCTGAGCGCGCTGTGCGTGCTGTGCTGTGCTGTGCTGTGCTGTGGTGCAGGAGCTGGACAGCAACCCCTGGATCGTGTACCCCTGGTGCGGCTGCCCGCCTCCTCTGCCACGCGTGCCCCCTCGCAGGCCGCCACCTCCCCCAGCTCTGCTGGTAGCTTGTGTGTGTCCCAGCTGCTGCTGTGTCTCATTGCGTGGTGCCCCGCGCCGCTGGCCCCGCAGGGACGCACCCGACATTGAGGAGCACAACCGCCTGGGGGAGCAGTGAGCCGCCAGCGGGCACCCGATGCTGCCCTTGCTTGGCTGCCCTCTTGGCCAGCGCTCCCCTCCTACCAAACACCTCCCCTGCCCCAATTTTGTCCGCTTGTTTCTTCCGCTCCGCCCACTCAATTCTTTCACTGCGCGCGCAGCAGCTTGCCTCCTGCCACAGCATGCCACCTTGTTGCCTAATTTTCCCGCAAACCAGCACCGAACACCCCGCCTCCGCGTGTTTCACCAACGCACACTCTCTCCTGTTTCATCCACCCGCTGCGCCGCCGCTGTTTTTTTCCCTGCTTGCTTGCGTTGTGACAGTGTTGCCCAATCCTGTCTGTGGCACACAGAAGTAAAGCCTGTAAACTGCCCACGTCGACGACACCCGGCAGAGGGCGGCGGCGGCAGGTTGGCACGCCTCGCCCTCCCCGCGCCAGCCTCACGCCACGGGCACCGCCTCCAGGTCGAAGGTGGAGGTGGAGGTGATGCGGCACCGCCGCAGCTGCCCCACCTCCAGCGCCGCCAGCCCCGACCCGCCCTCAGGCTCCCCCAGGAACACGATGTGATCGATGTCTGGCGCATCCCACTGGGTGCGCCCGTACACCTCGCCGTCCTCGGTGTGCCCATCCACCAGCACCTCGACCTGCGGGTGGGGCGGGTGATCCGGGTGTGGGATGAAATGAGCGGGGCAGGGCGGGTGGGCGTGTGATGCATGGGGAGGGCAAGGGGTCAGGTGGGTAGGCTGGCGAGGGCCGCGCGCACGTTGCAAGTTGCGCAGGCTGGCAGGCAGGCAGGGCGGCTCTGATGCAGGCAACGCTCATCTCAGCGCACCTCCTGCCCAACCAGCGACCGGGCCCACTCCTCGCCCACGCGCTGCTGCAGCGAGATGAGCTCGTCCCGCCGCGCCTCCCGCACCTCTTGCGGCAGCTGCGGCACTCGGACGGCGGCAACGCGGACAGCGGGTCAGGTTGCAGGCGTGCCGCCAGCCAAGCAGCCGCCAGCTGCATGTCGCGGGGGCCCGCACGCTACAAACACCACGCCCAATCCCCACGCACGCATGCACCACACCACCCGCCCACCTGGTCTGGCAGCTCTGCGGCGGGTGTGCCGTCCTCCTCGCTGTACTGGAAGCAGCCCATGCGCTCAAAGCGGAAGGAGGAGCAGAAGTCGACCAGCTCGCGGTGGTCCGCCTCAGACTCGCCTGCAGGGGTGGCACGGGCGTTGGTGGGTGGCATACGTGGGTGAGGCTCGCCTCGATGCAGGCAGGGGCGCCAGCCAGGCAAACACGGCTTTCTCCCCAGCCAGGTGACAAAGGCTCGCTGCTCAGGCTGCCCTCCCAGAAAGAAAGCACACGGCACCCACCCACCCGGGAAGCCCGAGATGAAGGTGGTGCGCAGCGCCAGCCCCGGGATGCGCTCCCGCAGCTTGTGCAGCAGCGCCACCGTGTGCGCCTGCGGCGGCCGGTTCATGCCCAGCAGCGTGAGGTTGGAGATGTGCTGCAGCGGGATGTCGATGTACTTGCAGACCTGGGCAGGGAAGAAAGAAAGGGGCACGCAACTCGGGGCAGGGCAAGGCGGGCAGCCGCGTCCGCAGTGGAGTGCCCGACGCCAGGCTGCAGGGAGAGGTGAGCGCTTGCCCTGCATGCGCTGTCCGGCGCTGCCTGCTGCCAGGCAGACCCCCGCGGCTGCCAAAGACAGGCTGCAGGGAGCTCTCTGCACTGAAGTCCTGCCCTCCCTCCCACCTTGGGGTTGGTGGCAATCTCATCAATCAGCTGCAGGTGCGGGCGGCGGGGCAGCACATTGGGTGGTCTGGGCGGCTGTGGAGGCTGTCCAAGGCTGGCAGCAATGCAGGCGGGCGCAAATCTGGAGCTGCCCATCCATCCACCACGCACCTCCTCGGAAAAGTAGCTCGGGTAGCAGTAGAGCAGGCGGATCCAGCGCAGGCCCTCCAGCTTGCCCAGCTCCTGCAGCACCTGCGACAAGCCCTTGCCGTCCCGCCGGTCCATGCCGTACTGGTTGGTATCCTGTGGGCACGCAGCATGCAGGTGAGCGCCGATACAGAAAATGATGCTCACACAAGCCACAGACAAGAGCTAAGGGAAGCACACACCTCTGCAATCAGGTTGAGCTCCACCACGCCGCTGTCCACCAGGTGGCGCGCCTCGTCCAACACCGCCTGCCAGGGCTTGGACCGGAACTTGCCCCTGCGGGAAGGCAAGGAGGTGCAGCGCAGACTGATTAGCGCCCAAAATGGAACAGTAACCTGGTCACAGCAGCAGGGCACAGGCGAAGGAGCAGCGGCAACCGCAAGGGGCAGGACGCCCAGGTGGCGGGCGGGACGGCGGCTCAAGTCCAAAGCCGCTGGGCAAGGGAACGGGACTCTACATCGCCTCCTCGCTATCGGCAGCACTATCACGCTCCCTGATCACTGCTCGCAGCAGCATCTGTCGCTGTTTGTGTTTTCGTGTGGCGGCCAGTCGCGGAGGGCGTGCGGCAGCACAGGGATTAGTCGGCAATGTGGTCCTGGCTCACAGGGGCGGGCGGGGCCAGCCAGGCGGCGGCCACACCCCAAGGCCAGCAGGTGAGCAGAGCCGGGGAGCAGCACGCTGCTGCCACACGCAGGCGCCGGGGGCGCGACGCAGAATGGGCCCAGAGCTGGGGCCAGCAGAGGGGTGTGGCGGGTGCCATGTTCCCACCCGCCTCACCCGCCGCCCAGCGAGAATCGCAACACCGCCGCACGCTCTCGCCGCGTGCTGTGCAGTCTGCCACGGCGCTGTTCCGCTACCTGGCGGCCAGGAATGGGGGCCAGTGGGAGGAGGTGGCCAGCAACGCCGCCGCCCAGCTGTACGACGCTCACGAGGACAGCAACAGCCGCTCGCCAGAGTGGCACCTGGAGGTGGACGGCGCGCAGGTGCGTGCCGCCCGCAGCCTCCGCCCTGCTTTGCGAGCGACCCGCGGCAGCCCAGCGGGCCTGATACCCGGGTGCAGGCGCAGCGGCGGCCCGGACACGTGGCTGGCCTGCGCAGGCAGGGCGCGCTTGCCGGCGCGGCGGGGTGGCTCTGCATCTCCCGCCGCCTCCTCCCTCCCTCCACCCTGCGCTCCCCTCCCTCCCTGCTCCCGCCGCAGGACCCGATCGACACCCTGGTGGACGACAACTTCTCCTTTGAGGCTCGGGAGCTGCGGGTCACCTTTGCGGCGGGCGACGACATCTGGGCGCTCAAGTTTGGGTCGCCGGGCGCCTTTGAGCGCTTCCTCCAAAAGTACAACAAGGCCGCCTTTGAGAACCGCTTCGGCCTGGAGCAGACAGACGCCAGCGAGGCCAAGGTGCGGCGCCGCCCACGCCCCAGGGCCGCGCGGCGGGCGGGGCTGGGCCGGCCATGGTTGCTACGCAGCCTCCACCCGGCTCAGCTTCCTGGCAGTTTGTTCGCAGAAGGGAGGGCAGGGCCACCCATGCGCCCACCACACCACACCCACCCGCCCCGCCTCCCCCGCCTGCCCGCAGCTGTTTGGCGACTTCTCCTCAGCGCTCAACGGCGTGGAGAACGACGAGTCCAGGCAGCACTGGGTGGAAGACATGGAGACAGACAAGCCAGACGCGCGGGTGGGCGGCCCGCGCCACGCCAGCCTGGCGCTGGATGCCACACACAGCCACGCCCTGCGTTGCCGCCGCGGCGATGCCGGCGCCGGGGCCCGGGTGCCTGCGTCGCCGGCCGCAGACGCGCCGGCCGCCGCGCCGCCGGCCGCCGCGCCGCCAGCCGCAGCGCCGCTGCCCGCCTCCCACGCGCCTGCCCCCCCCCCCCCCACCCCTTCCCCTCCCCCCTGCCTCCCTCCCCGCCTGCCCGCCACTCCCAGGAGCTGCGCACCCCCACCAAGGACCGCGTGGTGAGCGAGAAGCTGTCTCCCATCCACGGCGTGGTGATGGGGGCGGGGCAGCGCAGCTACCTGATGAGGGACAACCAGATCGACGTGATGGCCAATGTGATGGGCGGG